GCCCCCCGAAACCGGTACCCCCGGGGCACAGCGGGGTGCGGGGCCCCCCCCGGCCCAGCAGACGTGACTCACGGCCCCGGCGCGGGGGGGCCGCGGTGGGTAAAAGGCAGCTTTGTCCGGCCCCGAGACCCCTCCGGAGGCGGCTGCAGAGAACGGGCAGCTCGGTGCATGAACGGGAAGGGGCGCGGGGCCTGCAGCCCCCCCCTCGCGCTCCCCCCGCCTCGGCCGGAGCTATTTTAACAGGGAAAGGGGCTATAAAAAGGTCCCAGCTGTGTCGAGCGCGGCCCCCAGCCTCGACGCCCCGGCGATGGGCACAGCGGGGCCCAAAGCGGGGGGAGTGGGATCCCCGTGAAACACGGGGGGCGAGGGGGGGGGCAGCTGGGACCCGCCTGGGGGTTCTCCAGGATGCCGGCGGGGCAGGATCCAGCCCCTCCCTGGACCCTCGTGGCTGGGAACGCTCGGTGTGTTTGGGCAACGTGGTGAATCATTAACGGCTGCTCAACCAGTCCGACCTGACCCCCCCGGGCACGAGGGGCTGCCGGTGCCCGACCCCCGGGGTGCACCTGCCCAGGGGGTGGTGGGGGGCGAGGCCGGGCCCCCCCGGGCGCCGCGGCGGCGTCGTGGCCGGGTGTTATCAGCGCGGGGCCTCGCTGGCAGCTCCGGCACGTCCCCGCTATCAGCCGCGTGCCACCGCGGCCCCCCGGCCCCCGCCGCCAGGAATAGCACCGGGGGGACCCGGCCGGGAAGGGGGGGCCAGACCCGACCTCCTGCCCTCGGCCCCGCCGGCGGCGGCACAAAGGGGTCTGTGTGCGCCGGGCCCGGCCCCAAACAAAGGGGGCTCTGAGAGAGGATGGGGACGAGGGTTTGGGGGGAGCAGCGCTGCTCCCGCTCCCCGTGGTGCCCCCGGGCCCCCCACTGTTCCCTCTCGGGGTGGGAGCCCCCCGTGTGATCCGGACCCCCTGGGTGGCACCCCCGAGGCGTCTCCGGTGGCACACGGAGCAGGGGGGACACCGAGGGGTCGGGCGCGACCCCCGCACGCCCCCCGCACCAGAGCACCCCCCGGCCTGTGGGGTGACGCGCCGGCCCCACCTGCGCGTCCAGCCCTCGGTGTTTTTCCTTTGGGGACTGAAAAACAACTCCCGGGCGGATCCGGCCCTTCCGGGGTGCGGGGGGTGCGGGGGGGCCGGAGCGGGCAGGGACGGGGTCCCCTCCCGAGGGGTCTCCCCCCCTCTGGGGTCCCGCCCTGCCCCGGCCGGATCCCGGAGGCATCGGCGGGTCCCGGCCCCGCAGCCTAAAATTAGCCCGGGCAGCTGCGGGGGGCACAGGTGCCTCTGCCCGGAGGGGCCCCGAGCCCGGGACAGACCCCCGGGAAGGGGGGACCGAGCCCCGACCCCGCCGGAGCCGCAACCCTGGGGGGCTTTGCCGGTCCCCGTCCCCCCGGGGCCGTGGGGGTCCCCCCGGGACAGGGGATCGCGGGACGCCCCCGCGAGCGCGGGGGCCGCGGGAATTGTCGGGATCCGGCCCCGGCGGAATCGCGGACGCCGGGACCCCCGAGCTCTCCCGGTCCCGCCGCCCGTCCCGGGACCCGCCGAGCGCTCCGGCAGCCGCCGGTTCTCCCCGGTGCCCGATCCCGCCGCCGCTCCCCCGGTGCCGGTGCTCACCTGCCTGCGCGGAGCCCGGCGCGGGAGCGCGGAGCAGCAGCACCAGGAGCAGCAGCAGCGCCCGGGGCCGGTCCCAGTCCCGGGGCCGGTCCGGGTCCATCGCGGCTCCTCTCCGCGGGCCCCGGCGCGTGCCCGGGCGCGGCGGGGGGAATGCACCTGGCGCGGGGCCGCCGGGGCGGGACGGGCCGGGATCGGGGCCGGGCCGGGCGGGGCAGCGGCGGGGCGGGGGTGTGGGGGGGGCCCCGCTCCGCTCCCCGCCCCTCCCGGGACCCGCCCGGGGCGGTGGCACCGGGACCCTCCGCCCGCCCAAACGGGCCGGGCACAGCCCCGGCCGGCCCCGTCCCGCCCCCCCGCCCGCTCAGGTGTGCCCACCCCCCCACCCCCGGTCCCGGAGCAAAGTCTGACCCCGCCGCAGCCCCCCCGGAGCCCCCGGTGTGCCCCCAACTCCATTCACACCACCCCGGGCACAGCCTGGCCCCACTGGACACCCCCAAAAAAAGGAGGGGGTCGTCTGGACGCCTGAGGGGGCAGGTGGGGGTGTCAGAGCTGCCCCACCCCCAGCTCAGAGCAGGTCTGGGCCCTGGGCAGGATTTGGGACCCCCGCAGTCCCCCTCCCCACATTTGGGGCCACAGTCCAGGGGCAGCCCCCCAGTCTGCCTCATGCAGGGGGGATGCCCCCCAGGTGTCCCCCAAACACACCTGGACAGAACCAGTGTGCAGAGCTCCCCCAAGGGGGGTCTCCAGGGTGGGCAGCAATCCCCCCCAAAATGGGGTGACCCCAGGGCTCCCCCACGAGAAGGGGGCTGGGAGTCCCTCCAGAAGCCCCAACGTCCCCTCCCTCCATTCCCCAGCCCCCCCAAAAACACAGAGCCAGAGTCAGAGCAGCTCCCACCTCCCCACACAGGGTGAGCCCAGGCCCCCCCCATAAGAAGGGATGTGGGACCCCCTCAGAAAGCCCCAAACACCTCCCACCCCCCCCCCGATTCCCAGAGCCCCCCCAAAAAACACAGAGCCAGGCTCGGAGCAGGACCCTTTATTGAGTCTGAGCTTGGGGGTCCCGGGGCCACGTTCGGGCAGAGTGTCCTCACATGGGCTTGGGGGGCGGTCGGGGGGCTGCACCCTGCGGAGAGAGATCAGCATTAGGGGCCCTGGGGGGGCACAGACCCGCGGGCCCCCCCGGGCCCCCCCCATACGTACGGCGGGGCGGAAGCGGGGGGGGGGTGTCCGGTCCTTTCGGGCCTCCCGGGAGCGGTTCCGGACCACCTTGCTGTGGATGGCGCAGCTGACGCAGTAGTGCAGCTTCACGTACAGCTTGGGCAGCACGTAGGCTGGGGGGAGCAGGGACTGAGCCCCCTGAGCCCCCCAGGGCACAGCCCTCAGCCCCCCCAGGCAGCGTGTGCAGAGGGAGCAGGGGGGGCTGGTTTTGGGGTGATGGAGCAGGGGGGGCTGGTTTTGGGGTGATGGAGCAGGGGGTGGGCTGGTTTTGGGTGACAGCCCCACCTAGGCAGGGTATGCTCAGTTAGAGGGGGCAGGGGGAGCAGGATGAGCTGGTTTTGGGGTGGTAGAGGCAGCAGGGTGGGCTGTTTTGGGGGTGATGGAGTGGGGTGAGATGGGCTGGTTTTGGGGTGGCAGAGGCAGCAGGGTGGGCTGTTTTGGGGGTGATGGGCTGGTTTTGGGGTGGCAGAGGCAGCAGGGTGGGCTGTTTTGGGGATGATGGGCTGGTTTTGGGGTGGCAGAGGCAGCAGGGTGGGCTGTTTTTAGGGTGATGGGCTGGTTTTGGGGTGGCAGAGGCAGCAGGGTGGGCTGTTTTGGGGGTGATGGGCTGGTTTTGGGGTGGCAGAGGCAGCAGGGTGGGCTGCTCTTAGGTGGGGCAGAGGCCCCCCCAACTCACAGTCGAACACACTGGCCTCCGAGATGTCCCTGACGGCCGCGGCCTCCACGATGTTCCTGATGACGAACTTCTTGATGGCCTTGTCCTTGGGGACGCAGCGGGCGCAGTTGGTGCAGCGGATGGGCTGCACATGCCCGCGGCCCTTCTTCGCCCGCCCGTTGTTCCTCCTCTTCTTCGTCTGCCCGAGGGAAGGGCCGAGGGTGAGCCCCGGGACCGCCTTGAGCCCCGGAACCCACTCCAGGCCCCGTAACACCCCCACCATTCCCAGTAACCCCCCCCAGCACCCCCTGACCCTGAGGGGTCCTGAAGCCTCCTCAAACCCTCCCCCACTACTCCTGAGCCCCAAAACCCCCTACGCCCTTCCCCCCCATAAATCCCTTCAGTCTCCCCGCCCATACGGGCCCCATCCATCCCCACAGCCCCCTGATGCCCCCCACAGCCCCTTACAGGCCCCGGGGTTTCCTTCCGCCCCCTCCATCCCCTGCCCCATCCACCCCTCCCAGCACCCCCTGCCCAATATGGGCTTCCCTGCGCTCCCCACCGCCACCCTGTGCCTCCCATGCCCCCCCCCCGCGCTCCCAAAGCCCCCGAAAAGGCTTCTCTCAGTCCCCCCTGCCCCACACGTGCCCCGCGCCGCCCCCGGGGTCCCCCAAAGCCCCTCGCGGCGCCCCGGCCACGCCGCGCTCACCATGGCGGCTCTGAGGGGGCGCCGGAAGAGGCGCGGCCGCCGCACAGCCGCCCTTATATGCGCTCCCTCCGCCCGGAAGCGCCTTCGCCGCCGCCCCGACCCGCCGTGGCTCCCCCCCGGCCGCCTCGCAGGGGCTGCGCCCGAAGCACCGGGACGGGCAGAGGCGGTGCCGGGATGCGGAGAGCGGTGGAGAGGGAGGGGGAGAACGGGGACGGGGACTATTTCTCCTCGCTCGGGACGGCGGAGGGATCCGCTGTACGCGAGGTGTAAGAGATTCGCGCGCTGTGTGACGTCATCAGCCCTGCCCGCCGCGGGGGCCGCCGGGAAATTGAGTCCGGGGGGGGGCCCTGGGGGTTCGGGGGGCCCTCCCATTCTTTGGAGGGGGGGGCCCGCTTGCCCCACCCCTATGGCGGGACCCCCAGTATCCTCACCTCATCCCTGGGGGGTCCCCAGTATCCCCTGTGTTGTCCCCCCCCAGGGCCCCCACTGTCCCGTCACCATCGCAAATCCCCAGAGACCCCCAGTGTCCTCCCCCCATCTCTGGGGGTCCCCTCTGTCCTGTCACCACCCCAAACTCCTCCAGCAGACCCCCAGTGTCCTCCCCCCGCATCCCTGGGGGGTCCTCAGTGATGTGCCCCCCACAGCCCTGGGTGTCCCCAGTGTCATCCCCCCACACCATTCCTGGGGGTCCCCAGTGTCCTTTGAGCCCCCAAACCCCTGTGGGGTCCCCACCGACCCCCCACATCAGGGAACCGGGGGGGGCATTAAATTACTCCGGTTTATTTATAACAGACCCTCAGCCAGTACAGTACAAAACTTACAGTAGATCTCGTTACACAAATCATTAATTACAATATTTTACAGATACAAAAGCTCCTGGGGGAGGTTGGGGGGTGAGGGGGGACAGGGGGTGTCCAAAAGCGAGTCAAAACCTCACAAAAAAGGGCAAAGCAAAGACAACAGCGAATCCATTAACGAGAGACAACCAAAAAACTCCTGGGGGAGGCGGGGTATTGCACATCCTCGTTTGTTCTTCATCCATCGGATTAAAAAATAGATATTTACAGGGATAAAGCGACCTGGAGGTTTTACAAAATTCCTACAGTTTTGTTTCAGACTCCGACAGGGGAAAAAAAAAGAAAACGGAAAAGGGGGGGAAAAAAAAACAACCAACCAACCCAAGAGGGGCTGGAAACGGCAGAGCTTCGATTTGGATTAAAAAACCCCTTTTTTGGGTTGGTTTGGGCGCTGGGGGGGGAGGGGGGTGCCGTGGGCACCCCGTTACGGGCGGCTGGGAATGGGGGGAACCCCCCTCCTTCAGCCACCCCCCACCTCCCCCCGCCACCAGAGGCCGTCACGGAGAGCAAAAAGGAGGGGGAAAAGAAGGGATAAAATCCCCAAAAACGGGAAAATGTCCCCAAGAGAGGCGGGAGGGGCAGCGGCGCTGCTGAGGTGTGTGTGTGTCCGTACAAAGGAACAGCTTTGGTTTCGCCCTCGGGGCGGCCCCGAGGGGCCTTTTATGCATCCTGGGCCGGGGGAGCGGGACCCCCGCGGGGGGAACTGGGCTGGGCTGGGCTGGGGGCTCTCAGCACCGAGGGGGGGGCTGCAGCCGGGGGCCCCCTGGGCACGGGGGCTGCGGTTGGGGGTCCCCAGCTCCGAGGGGTGGGGGCTCAGCCCGGGATTTTTGGTTCTCGCTGCTGCCCTGGCCCTGCCGGATCCCTTCTCCCAGGGGGATCCCATCCCGGGGGGGCCCCTGCTCCAGACCCCCCAGCCATGGGACTGCGAGTCCCTGACTGGGAGTGGAACTCGCCCCTGGAACCCGCCTGGATCCCGGCAAACTGCCCCCGGGACCATCCCAGGGGAAAAGGGGGTGTCGGGGGCGTCGGACCCAAACCTGGGGGTCCGGGGAAGCTCCGGCTGCTCCGTGTGGGAACTGGGGCACCGGGAGAGCACAGAGACCCCCCCGGCCCCGGGAATGCTGGGGGAGCGAGGGGGGGCCGGACCTGGGGGCCCCCAGGGGGGTCCTGCCCTGCAGCAGATTCCGGCCTGTGCCGAGGAAGAGCAGGAGGAGGAGATCCCAGGAACGGGATGGATCCATCCTTCATTTTGGGGGCGGATGTGGACCCCCATCACCCCCACGTGGGGTCGGGGGGCTCTGAACCCCACGAGGGGGGAGCTGGGAAGGCACCTGGGGGTCCCCGCATCCCACTCCGGGGGTTTCCCAGACAAAGCTCGGGATGCAGCAGCTCCCTCAGGGCTGGGGGGGGTCGGGCTGGGGCCTGGGGGGGTCCCGTGGGGGTTTAGCACCTAATTTGAGGTTTACTTTGCCCGGGAATGGGGACGGGCAATGCCGGGCTCGCACCAAGGAAGGGGCTCGGAGAGGAGCCGACGGGGCAGGACAGGGGGGAACAGTCTCAAAAGTTCAAATGAGACTTTCTTTGGGTAAAAAAACCGAGAGAGTTATAAAAAGGGAAACTCAAAAGCTTAATAAATAACGGAAGGAGGCTCGGGAGGTGGGGGGAAAGCACAAAAAAGTCCGTTAATATTCAATATTTAAATAACTCCGTTTATAAAAAGGCAGATTAAGGGCTCCCCCTCGGCGGGGCCGGTTGGTTCGTGGTTTGTTTTTGTTTTTTTTTTTTTTTTTAATTATTGAAAATTTTTTTTTTTAAATACTTTTTTGTAGCCAAAGTCAGTGCAAAGGAGTATAAAAGAAAAACCAACAGTTCCATGCCCTAGGGATGGAGGGGCTGCGCTAGAGACAGGGGGAGAACTGAGGAGGGGGGTGGGCTGGGCTGGGGGGGCCCGGGGGGGTTCAGCCGATTTTGTGCTCGCCCCGCACGATGTGGGAGGAGAACTCGTACCGGTCCTGGCTGTGGTAGCCACAGATGTTGCACTCGAAAGGGTCTCTGAAGCCGTGGCAGCCCATGTGGATGGTGAACATGACGTGGTCCAGGAAGAGGATCCGGCAGTGCTCGCACTTGAAGGCCCGGAGCTGCTCCCCGTCCTCGTTGAGCACCCGCAGGGATTCTTTGGCGGAGCTGGGGGTGCACCGGGCGCCCGGGGGTCCCTCCGGCCCCTTGGGCTCCTCTTTGGCGTAGGCTGGGCTGTGCCGGCTGCTCCCGGGCGCCAGCTGCGAGCCCCGCTCCTCGTGGATGCTCTCCGTGTCCGTGGAGTCCTGGCAGCCGTTGGAGGGAGACCCGCTGGGCTCCCGGGCCCGGAACACCACCGACACCCCGTCGGGCACCTCCTCGTGGCCCTCGGCGGCCTCCCGGCCCCCCGGCAGCTCCAGCCGCGCCGGCAGCGCCTGGATCTGGGTGTAGACGGAGCTGATGACGGGGGTGACCTCGGAGATGCAGTTTGTGGGGGGCAGGCGGAGCGAGCGCAGGTGCTCCCCCCCCAGCAGGGACAGGGGGCCGCCGTAGGAGGCGTCGAGGGGGTGGTGGGCCGAGACCACCTCCACGTCCTTCTCGAAGCTGGAGTTCACGTCGAAGGGGAGCTCGGAGAGGGCGAAGCGCATCTGCTTCTCCCCTGCGGGAGGAGAGCGGCGTTGGAACGGGCGGGTTTGGGGCTGGGATGACCCCCTTATATCAGAGAGCAGCATCAGGATGGGTGGGTTTGGGGCTGGGATGACCCCCTTATATCAGAGAGCAGCATCAGAGAATGGGTGGGTTTGGGGCTGGGATGACCCCCTTATATCAGAGAGCAGCATCAGAGAATGGGTGGGTTTGGATTTGGGATAACCCCCTTATATCAGAGAGCAGCATCAGAGAATGGGCGGGTTTGGGGCTGGGATGACCCCCTTATATCAGAGAGCAGCATCAGAATGGGTGGGTTTGGGGCTGGGATAACCCCCTTATATCAGAGAGCAGCATCAGAATGGGTGGGTTTGGGGTTGGGATACCACCCACCTCCCCATATTAGAGAGTGGTGTTGGAACAGGCAGGTTTGGGGTTGGAATGACCACCCACACCCCCTCATATCCCTTCTCTTCCCAGCACCGTGTCTGACACCGACCCCATCCCAGAGCGGAGGCCGGAGCGAACCCCACCCCAGCCCAAGGAGGGGATCTCAGTTCCCAGGGGGGTCTGGCAGGGTTGGTGTCTGGGGGTCCCCGTGGGGGCACGTCCCCTTACCCACGAATTTCTGCGGCGTGGAGCGTTTCCGTTTGGTGAAGCTGTTGGCCAGGCGGTCGATGAAGGTCGGCCGCTCGGCCGAGGGGTGGAGCAGGGAATCGGGCACGATCTCCAGGTCCCGCATCTCCTCACCTGGCGAGACAAGGGAGAGGCCCGGGTCAGCCGGCACGGCGGGACGGGACGGGCACGCTGCCACCCGGGCCGGAGACGCCGCGGGCAGCGCTCCGGATACGCCGCTCCTGCCCTCTGCCAGCTGGGACGGACGGACCTACGGACCGGCTGCCGCACCCTGAGCTTACCCCGTCGGTGGTCGGTCGCAGGGGAGCGCCGGCAGCCGGTCCGCAGCCCTCCTCCGTCCGGCCGGGCCCGCTCCTGCCACTTTGGGAAGAGGAGCTGCTTCAACGGATCGAAGTGCCCTCGAGTTCTCCTGCCGGTTCTCGGCCCCGGCGGGACAGACATTCCCGGGGAACCCGGCCCTGAGCACGGGGAACCTCCCCGTGCGCTCCAGCGGCTCTGTGTCCGACTCCAGGAGGGTGAGGAGCCAGCAAGGCCCCAATTCTGGCTCTCTGCCAGGGAATTCTGCCCGCCTGCAACTCCCGAGGAGCTCCCGAGCCACACGTGCCCGCCGGGACAGCGCCCGCGGGGGTGAATCCCAGCTCGTGGCACCACAGCTCGTGGAAAACGCTCCTGGTAGTTCTTGCACTGGAAATTGGGGCTGGGGAGCGTTTGGGTTCAGGGCTTTGGGATCCAGAGGAACCCGGGAAGAGTCCAGGAGGTCACGCTGCACCGGCAGGTTCGTGGCATTGACTGGCACAGGCTCATCGCACCTTCTGCCCCAGATCCGGGGCACGGAGCGCACCGGGGGCGCTCCCCCCCCCACAGCACCCCCTTTTCTCGGCAAAGACCTCCCCAGAACTCAACCCCCGTCCCCAAAACTCAACCCCGTCAGCCGGGGGGCTGGGAAGCGACCCCGCGCTCCCATTTCCCACCCTGCCGGGAGACGCCTCCCGGCCTGCCCGGATCCAGGGGGGCCATCGGGGCCCCGGGCCCCCCCCGGCACTGACCTTGCTGGCCGGGCAGCGCCTGCGGCTCGGGATTGAGGCTCTGGAGGTAACTGTGGCAGCGCTCCTTGTGCTCCTCCAACGTGCTCTGCTGTTTGTAGCTCCGGCCGCAGTAGTTGCACTTGTAGGGTTTGCCGACGGTGGGGGAGGAGACTGGAAGAGGAAAAGGAGAGCCCGGATGTGAGCGGGGATGGAGCCGGGATGGAGGGACCGGGGAGGGGCTGGACGCGGCTCCGCGGGGGGGGAAAGCGGCAGGAACCGGCGAACGGGGGAGAACAACGGGAGGAGCCGGTCAAGGCGGGGCAAGAGCCGTGGGGATCGATTGACAGGGGAGAAAAAGGGCAAAATCGATCAGCGGGGGAGAAAACTGGCGGGGATTGGTCAGTGGGGGAGAAAAGCAGCAGGAGCCGGCCAACGGGGAGAAAATTGGCAGGAATTGGTCAGTGGGGGAGAAAAAAGCATCAGAAATTGGTCAGTGGGGGAGAAAAAGAACAGGAATCGGTCAGTGGGGCAGAAAAGGAACGGGTCAGCAGCGGGGCAGAGCCCCTGGCCCTCAGCCCCCCGCCCATCCCTGTGCCACAGGTAAAGGAGCTCCTGGCGTGTCTCCAGCAGCATTTTCCAGAGGCGGGGGCAGCTCCCGGCTCCCACTGCAGCCTTCCTCCTCACCATCACCTGCCCCTCAGTGATTCGGCCCCTCCCCAGCAGCGGGAGCCGCAGGAGCAGGGCTGGATGCTCCCGGACTTCGGTTCAGCCCCGGAGCCATCGCTCCCACGGGATCTCACCTCCCCAAAAAGCTGGACACCCCGGGGCAGAGCCGTGCCCGCTGGGGTGGGAGGTTGGCTCAGCAGTGGGGAAATGCCCCAAAATCTGCTGGTTTTGCCGGAATCTGGCGCTCGGGATGTCACTGTCCCACAGCACCCACAGCACGCCCCGGCACGGAGCTCGGGGAGGGAGGGATGTGCTGTTCCTGTCACATTTACGGGGTGCTTGGGGGTTTTTTTTGGGCAGCTTGTGGTTTAACCTTTAAGTGGTTTTTTTCAAAACACGTGTTGGGGCTGTCAGTGAACCTGCACTCACCCTCGGACACCTGGATCCGTGTGGAAAGTGGGATCAGCACCTCCCCAGGAGCCAGATCCTGTCCCAAAGCCCCACGCTGGGCAGGGGACCCCAATGGCCACGCACTGCCCTGGCCTGGGGGACCCGGGAGTCCAGGAGCAGCCTTGGATTGGAGCAACCCAGCTCCGGGTTGGAAATCAATCCAGAGGAGCCGATGACAAGTGCAAATCCTGCCCTGGGCACCAGCATTGTCTCGGGGCAGCTGAACACGGGTTTCCTCCATCCCAGGGGAGGCGAGGAGGGCCCTGGCCTCTGAGCACCAGCACAAAAATGTGCCTCAGGAATCGATTCCTCAAAGCCAGCAATTCGGATGCGAGTGACTCGACTCCAAATTCCATTATTCCCATTAATCCCCATCACTCGAGGAGCTTTTAAAGTTTAAACATTCCCTCAAATGGCTCAGATTTGTTACTCCAAAACAACTGTGCTTCCCCACGCTCCCCTGATGGGACTGGGGTTGGTTTTCCACACCAGAAGACTCCCCATGGATACCTCAGAGGCATTTCCTAGGGATAATAAAAGAGCACGGGAGCAGCAGGACAAGGGGGGAATGGCTTCCCACTGACAGAGGGGTAGGTGGGATGTAGGTAAGAAATTCCTCCCTGTGAGGGTGGTAGGCACTGGAATGGATTTCCCTGACAAACAGGATCCTCAGGATCCCACCCCCGGGGTGCAGGGAGGACTCTGGGATGTGGCCCTCGGTCCATCTGTCATCCAAAGCCAGTGAGACGCCTCCCAGGGGTCTGTTTAGGATCCCTGGGGTTCTTCACCCAAAAAGTTCTTCACAGAGCCCAGGGCTGACCCTAAGCCCCGGAATCTGGGCCCTTCCCAAGGTTTTCTCTGGCCCTGCAGAGCCAGAGAGCCCCAGGTTGGTTTATTTGTGGGCTGGGACAGGAGGCAGGGAGGGGTCTCGGGGGAGCTCCAGCTCCCCCTCTGTCCCGGGTGGGGGCTGCAGCCTCTGATCTATTTTGGAGCATCGCAGCCCCTTTGATCTGGATGTTAATCCCTCACTTTTTTGGGCAGCACATCCTCGGAGATGAAAGGCCCTGGTGGGGCCGCAGGGAACGCTCGGGCCTGTGGGTAAGGAGGGAGAGCTGAACCTCCTCTGCTGCCACCCGGCAGGGCAGTGCCTCCGAAATCCACAGCAAATTAAGGCTTTTCTTAGTAATTAGCTCCCAGAAAGCCTAATTTTTGTTTGATATGATGTGAGGGTTTGTCCCATTTCCACGTCTCCTGATCGAAGGACTCCAAAGGACCAGAAGTGTTTACACCAAGCAGCAGCTTTGTCCCTTGGCAGTGGGAATATCCAGGGATGAACTATCCTGGATGGAGCAGGTCTGGGGGCTCCTGGTGCCAACAGGTTCTTCAGGGAAGGGTTCCTTGCTCTGACAAAGCCCCTGACACTCATTTCCACACAGCCTCTAAAGGTCCTGGGGCCGCAGGTGTTCGAACACCTGAGAGTGCTGTAAAGCCCTGGTGGTGCCCAAATCCAGGGAAAACGGTGCCAAACGGGGACCTGGCATCCTGCCCTCCCCCCATGGCCCTGCCCCTGGCATCCTGCCCTCCCCCCTTCTTACATCACGGAACTGGAGGGTGGAAACTGCAGCTCAAATGTCATCTTCAAAAAGGACAATGTCAAAACACAACATGAACCAACCCCCTGGTGCTGGTTTCCACCACACCCACGGGTGGGACCTGTCTTTACTCAATAAAATCATTTAAACATTTATCTGTTGGAAGAAACTGGACCAGCCCTGTGGGCACCTCTCTGGTCAGCAAGTCCCTGACTCTGACACGTCCTCTGCCTTCAGCTCCACACTGTGCAGAGCAAGTTTGGTCGGGAGCTCAAGGCTGGTGAGTGTGAACCTTCCAGGGAAGGTCCTCTTGGACATCAAGAGGAATTTCTGCATGGAAAGGGTGCTCAGGCATTGGAAGGGGCTGCCCAGGGAGGTGGTGGAGTTCCCATCCCCGGAGGTGTCCAAGGAAGGCCTGGACGTGGCACTCAGTGCTCCGGGCCGGGCACAGCTTGGACTCGATGGTCTCGGAGGTCCTTTCCAACCTCAATGATTCTCCAGCCCAAATCCCTGGTTTTGCACCACCCTCCCCTGTTCCCTGCCCTGCCCAGCCCTGCCCAGCCCTCGGGACCCACCGGAATGCGTGCGGAGGTGGCCGGTGAGCGCGTCCCGCCGGCGACAGGCGTAGTTGCAGAAGGGACATTTGAAGGGCTTCTCGCCCGAGTGCAGCTTGATGTGGCGCAGGAGGTTTCCCTTCTGGGTGAAGGAGGCTCCGCACTGGTTGCAGTGGAAGGGCCTTTCTCCTGAAAAACCGGAGCAGGGGGTGAAACTCCTGCTGAGAAGCGTTTCCCGAGCCAACGGCCCCGCAGAGCGGGAGCATCCCCAGGTTTCCACGCGTTGGAGAGCCCTGGGTCAGCCACCAATGGGATCCAGACGTGGCCCCAACCCGGGGAGGGACGGATCTGCTGCTGGAGTGGGGACAGTGACGAGGAAAGACCAGCCACAGGCACTTTCCTGGGCTTTTCCTCACCAGCACCTTCTGGCCACCACCCCCAGCAAAAGAGGGTAAAGTAAGGTGGGATATCGGGAAGAAATTCCTCCCTGTTAGGGTGGTGAGGCACTGGAATGGATTTCCCAGAGGATGCCCCGTCCCTGGAAGTGTCCAAGGCCAGGCTGGATGGGGCTTGGAGCAACCCGGTCTAGTGGAAGGTGTCCCTGCCCACGGCAGGGGGTGGAACAAGATGATCTTTAAGGTCCATCCCAACTCAAACCCTCATGGGATTCCACGATTCAATCCCTGGGGTCAGCACCTGGACCTGCCAGCCCTCTCCCACGGCACCTGTGGCCACCAGCCCCCCCAGGCTGCCCCAGAGCTCACCGGTGTGGCTGCGCTTGTGCACCATGAGCACGTTGGGGCCGATGCAGACCATGCCGCAGATGTCGCACTTCAGCTTCCCGTTGGGAAGGCGGATCCCCCCGGGGGAGTGCGGCTCCGGGCCCGTCCCGTCGCAGTAGCCCAGGGGCTCCGAGAGCGAGTCCTCCACGATGACACTGTCCTCCTTCTCCAGCATCCGGTCGTCCTGCGACAGCAGCCGGCTGGACTCCTCATCGCTGTACATCTCCACCTTGATGGAGTTGGCTGCGGGGAGGGAGAGGGGACGGGTCAGGGCAGGAAAAAACTCCCAGCGCTGGGAGAATTCCCACAGTTCAGGTGGGAACTGCTCCTGAAAGGAACACCGACGTGCTGGGTGATTTATTTGCGATCAGTCTGCACCTCCCGGGCTCCTCGGGAACAGATCCCACACGGATCGCGCGAGGGGATCCAAGGTCTGCACACCTGGAGATCTCCACTCCTCATCCCGAGGGAAAAGACATTTAACTCCCAGGATTCCAGGGCAAGCAAAGACACCAAATCTCGAGTCCCGGAATCAGTAAAGGCTCAAACTCGCCGGCACAAAGAGCTGAGCACGAGTTCCTTGGGCAGTGAGGAAACCTGGGCTCCCCAGGACAGCCATGGCTTCACTGACAGCTTCCACCTTTGGCATCCAAAGTCAGGAAAAAGGAGCTGAGCAGCAGGTGCTGCCTGGGAACACCCAACCTGCCCCCGTGGGCAGCTTGGCCTCTTCCCTTTCCCTCGTCCCACGAAGAGAACGGGGCCACACATGGAGGGACAGACATGGAAAACCCCTGGAAAGATGTGGAAGGGGATGTGAGAGATGCCAGGGACCAGGGAAAGGTCCCACAGCCGAGGGCTGGTGGCTGCCAGGAGCATTTATATCCTAGATGGGAGCAGGGGCTGCTGGAGCTGTGCTGGATAAGCCCACCCTCCAGACACCGGAGGGGCAGCACGGGGGGTCTCCCCACTGCAGCAGAGCCCCAGGATTTCCCTCCTCACCACCACCTCTCCCTCCTCCTGCAGCAGCAGGATGGAGGGGATGCACCAGTCCTGACCTACATTCCCGACTGCTCTAATGATCTGTGGAATGCCACAAATCAAACACTCCCGAGCCCACTCCCTCCTCACTCCCCCCTCGCTGCCAGGGAGCCGGGATGGGGAGGACAGGGAGAAACTCTCCCTCTCCTCCTTCCCAACGAACTTGTCCACCCTGATCCCACACACTTCCTCCCTCAGCCAGGTATCCAAGTGCTTGTCCCACCTCTCCACGCAGCTGCACCCCTGCCTGAGGGAGAACCGCTGGGACACCCTCGGGAAAAGACACCGGGCTGGAGATCCAGGCTTGAAATGATCAGACTGGGAAGTTTCCTCCCATTTTAAGCAGCTGGGAGCAAGAGGGAATTCCCTGGGGAGGCTCCCCAGCCGATGGCACCTGCGACCTGCTCCCGTAGCACTGGTCCTGGCAGGCTGGAGGAGGATGATGATGGAGCAAAGTGGAATCCAGGTCACCCACAGGCACTGAGCCCAAGGCTTCAGCTAAATATTTCCAGAATTCCTCTAAGGATCAGATTCTTATTTCTTCCTCCTAAAGCAGCAAGCTCTTCCCAATCCCTTGAGAAGGGAACGGCGGGGCTGGAGGGACAGAGCGCTGCCCGCCCAAGGAGAGGTGGCTTCCCGGAGGGCAGGAGCTGGAGGAGTCCGAGCTGCCTCGTGGAGAACGGAGCACAGCCACAGAATTCCCAGTGGTTCCCAAATCTGGAGCTGACGTGTCCCCCGGAGGGGTTCAGCTCCTTGTCAGAGTGTGGGTTCTCACCCACAGCCCGAGGACGCCCACGGGACCGGCTGAGGGGACTCGAGAAAACCTCGGGAACATCCCGGGTACGGAACCAGCCGGGGGTTCCTTTAAAAGCTGGGGGGCCCTGGATAAACTCTGACCCTTTGCCGGGTCGCTTACCGGGCCAGGCGGGCGCGCGGACGCCGGAGAGCGGAGCTGCTGGAGCAGGACGGGACGGTCCCGGAGCCGGGGGACCCCCGGGAATGGCGCAGCCCCCGGGGAGCCCGGCCAGCTCCCCGTCCCCGGAGCCAGGTACAGCCCTGCAAGTGGGGATTACCGAGGAGCAGCAGCATGGAAGTGATTCATCCGAGGCTGCCTGAGGTTTATTGCCGGGTGAAGAGCCCAGGAATTCCGGCTCTGGCTCCTTCCCTCCCTGGATCCTCCCGGCACAGACAATGCTGCTTCCCCGAGGGGCTCCGGGCAACGCCGGTCCTGGAGGTCCCAGGCGCTCCCAGGCCGCGTGCTGAGCCCCTGGATGGGAGGAGGCTGGGAGGAGGCTGTGCCTGGAGCATTCCCGGGGGGAAGCAGGACTTTATCCGGTGCCACCACGCTCCCCTGGGAGCACCAGGAGCTGCCTCCGTGCGCAAACACGGAGCGAAAAGCTCCTCGCTCCGTGCCGGAGCTGCTGGGACGAGCTGACGTTTGTGGTTGGGTTTTGTTGGGGTTTTTTTTTTTTTCCTCTCCCATTCCCCCAGGGACTAATTTTTTCCTGGGCATAGAAGAGAGGCCAAGTATTGTTCTGTAATTCTCCTTTCAGATCCGACGCGGGGTCCGGGAGAAGTCTCTGCCGGCAGAACAGGTTATATAATATTCCTGCTCCTCTGGGCACGGCGCTCGCTGGATGAACCAGCTGTGAAGTCAAGTCAGATCAGAGGCAATGCCATCACCCGTGTCCTGCTGTTAAAGGGGAAGGGATCGGGATTTTCCGCATGTTCAATATTCCTTTGGCTTCCCAGCGAGCAAAAAGGCCGCGTTACCCCCGGGAATGCCAAGATCTCGTCCCTGTGAGGAGCTTCCGTGTGCTTTAGAGCACAAATGTGAGATAAATAACGAGTAATAAGAGTAAGAACTGGCAACAGAGCTAATTCCGAGCGTTGTCCTCCCAAAATTGTGGTGTTTGGGGTTTATTTTATCCCGGTTCAGGAAGAACAACCAGCAAACGCCACGACCTCACCGGATAAAGGACGGGGAGTTCCTTTGCCAGGGAAAAGTGATGTGCAGTGACAGCTGGAAGTGGGAGAGAGGAAGGATCAGAGCCGGGCCAGGTGTTTTGGGGCTGGTTGGGCTCATCCAGAGATGGAGCAACTGTTGGATTGTGAATACCGGGAGAGCAACGGGAGCGTGGGGGACGGAGCCACAGCTCGGGGACGGGACCTGCCTGGCTGGGGGAGGCTCCCACAGACCCTGAACCACAGTTTTGTTCATTTTAACTAAAAAGCAGAGAGTTCCAGAGTGGGCAGGGAAGGAGACAGAGAGTTTCACGATGTGAGAGGAGACTCCCCACACTAACCCCATTTCTGGATCCCTGTGGGTCACCAGCTCAGCTCACTCGGACAGGGACACAACAGCCCCTCCGGGAGCTGATTCCAGCACCCCGTGGCATTCCTGGCGTATCCAAAGGATCCCAGGGCCTCTCTGAATCCACTGCAGTGACACAAATAACTTCCCAACAGCCTCATTCCCGCTGAGCCAAGCCCTGCTCTGTGAGCTGCTCCGACCCGCCCCGGCTCCCACACAAGAGGAAGCAGCGCAGTTCCTCGTTTCCCACACTGCCATCCCGATGGATACAAAATACAACTCATTCCAAAGAAACCCACAGCCCCTCAGAGCCGATCCCTGGCAGTATGGAACACACTTCTTGTGGAGGTGGAATTCAGGACCACAAGGAAAGACTCTGAATCCTCCACCCCCGGCCGAGGTTTTTCCACCCCTCAACATCGGTTTTTCCACAAAAAAACCCCGGCTCAGCAGCAGCCAGTTCCTGGGATCAGTGCCCGGGATCTGACACCGGGATCAGGGACCAGGCAGCTGCTCCACGCGCAGCCCAAAGCCGGGTTTATCCCCTTCCCTCGGAAAACAAAGAGTCAGACTGGGAGCGCAATCTGTCCCAGCGGGAAGTCAGAATTCCTGGCGGAGCAGGGATTGGGAAGGGATTGGGAACGGCCGGGTCGGGATACTCACCGCTGAGGGAGCGGCTCGGGGAGGAGTGCTGGCTGTTGGGGGTGCTCACCGTGGGGCCCACGATCGCCGAGGTGAATTCCTTCTCCAGGGAGGAATCCCCACTGCCTTTGGGAGGAGGGAAACACGAGTGAGAGGCCGGTGGGAATCCCCCCCCGAGCCCCCTGCCCGGCCCCTCGGCTTTGGGAAGGGGCTGGAGGGCAGGGATTTATTCCCATGGTATTAGGCTGGGTGCATTTTGGATTCCAGCCCTCCAGCTGGGAGCTTCCCAAACCCCACATCCCGGAGCCGACGGCAGTGCCGAGGTGTCCACCCGAGGGGGGACCAGACCACCCCCCGCCCCAGCACCAACCCCCAGGACCTGTCCCTTCACCGGGCACTGGGATCCCGCTCCACGACAATTCCCAAGCAGGCACTCACATCCCTGGGAAGCCGATCCCTCCCCACTTGGACACGGGCCCTTCCCCGCTCACAGCAGCCCACGAATTCCCTGACCCAGCTGTCCATGGATCCCCTCGGCTTTTCCCCTTCGGGGGCTGCCCAGTGCCTGTTGCAGCGATCCCAGCAATCCCTGGAGCCCCCCCAGCAGCCCCGGAGCCAGGCGATGCTGCGGGAGCGGCGGAGTTTCATGATGGAAAGTGCAGCAGCTCCCCGAGCACAGCTGGGAATGTTATTTCTAAACACTGGCAGCTGGAAAACTCTCCTCTCCCTGTTCCCCGAGCCCGGCTGGTCCCATTGTCTGGTGCCTGTTGGGAGGCTGAGCTCATCGGCCTCGCTGAGCATGGGAATCGCTCATGGGAAGTGCCCCTGGAGAGCCTGGGACACCCAGTGTGGCCTCGGCTCCCAGAGGCGGGATTTAAAGGTTCCTTCCCTCCCGGGATGACAGTGGGAGAGACTTGGAGCACCCTTCCCTCTCCCCTGCCCGCGCTCCAGAGAGGCTGGAGAGCTGCTGCCAGTGACTCTGAGCCTGGTGGAGCCTCCGATGATGCCCAGAGGGAATGAGTCCCTGCATTCCAGCACCTCTAATTCCCTTCCTGGAGCCAATGAGTCCCTGCATTCCAGCACCCCTAAATGCTTTCCTGGAGCCGCTCAGGGTCTCTGGCTACTCTGGAGACACATCCTGAGCCCAAATCCCTGTGTGGGGGTGAGACCAACCCTCTCAGAGGGTCCCGGGGCTGTGTCCTAATGCCTCTCCAAAGCCAGTTGGGGCAGATGTGCCAGATGGGGCACATCCTGGGGCCCAGACCCCTCTGAGTGGGGCAGGACGGACCCTCTCGCAGGGTCTCCGAGCTGCGTCCTGAGCCCATCTCGCTCCCATCTGCACTCAGGGGGGTCAGGTCCTTCCCCTCCCCTCCTCCTGCTGGCACAGGGAATCCCAGCCCCCCTGAGCCCCCGGAGCCCAGCACAGCCCCTGCATCCCCTCTCCACACACGCGGAGCGAGCGGAGCCCGAGTTATTTCCGGATCCTCCCGCCCCTCGCTCCCGTTTGAGTCGCATTTATTGTACCTTGCTGGAGATACCCTGGAGTGTTATCACATCCAACTCCTTGGAAACAGCGCTGGATTCCGGGCTGCGTGTGCATGTCTGCGTCGCTGGCAGGGCGCACGCAGCCACTCACCTTCCAGGAAGAGCAGATTCCTGGAAGGGAGGGAAACGTCCGTCATTTTACAGTCAGGAGGCACCGGGAGCGGGAACCGGGGCTGCCGAGGGCACGGGGAGAGGGAGCCAGAGGGGAGGGGTCGGCAGGTGGGCAGGGGATGCGTGAGGGGGCTCGGTGACCAGGCACAGGATCCCCAACGCTGGAATGAGCAGAGGGAGAAATGTTTCCCCCCGAGCTCAGCCACAGCCAGGATGGGCTCCGACCCTCCGGCATCGCCTGATCCGCAGCTCCAGGGAAGGAGCCAAAGGGGCTGGTGTGGACCCAGAGCTCAAAAAGTGTCCCTTCACTCCTTCCCCACACACACCTTGTCCACGAACGGCTTCGTGCTGCAGCTGAGAGGAATTTTTGAGGAGCTTCCCGTGGCGTGCACTCCCCACCCCACAAACAAAGCCCCTCCTGGCCCCGGGTTTATCCCTGAGGAGATTTGGGCTTGCTGGCAAAGCATCCCGGTGATGCTGAGAGCAGGAAGGAGCTCCTGTGCTTTCCTCCCTGATCCCAGAGACTGCCGGGCTCTGCAGGAAGGTTAAAACCTCCAGACTCCAATGGAACTAAACATTAAGGAGTTAAAAAAGGGAATTTCTCCTCAGTCCCTGCAAGCACAAAGCCAGCGTGGGCTCTGAGCTCAGCTCCTCTGCCAGCCAGCTTCATCCTCTGGATCCCTAAGGATCCTGCTGATCCCAAAGGATCCCCAGGCTCCTCCTGACTGGAAACACCACTGAGCTGGTCCTTGGTGCCCAGCCTGCCCCAAAACCAGGATCAGGCCAGGGCGGAGCTTCCTGGGGCAGGATCACTGTCAGGGACCCCTGCCAGGAGCCCCCTCTGGAAAATCCCACACACACAGGGACGGGATTTTTCCCTCTGTGCAGCAGTGGGTCCAGCACCAGGGCCCCCGGGGATGGCTCAGAGCCCTGGGAATGTGGGCAGGCTGCACTCCCACCCCTGGGAGCAGGGGCTGCACTCCCACCCCTGGGAGCAGGGGCTGCACTCCCACCCCTGGGAACAGGGGCTGCACTCCCACCCCTGGGAGCAGGGGCTGCACTCCCCCCCCTGGGAGCAGGGGCTGCAATCCCACCCCTGGGAGCAGGGGCTGCAATCCCACCCCGGGGAGCAGGGGCTGCACTCCCACCCCTGGGAGCAGGGGCTGCATCCCACCCCTGGGAGCAGCCACCACCTCGTTCCCATGGTCCCTCAGCAATTTCCCTCTCGGAAAACTGCTCAGACTTGGGATTTCAGGAAATTTTGGGGTCACGTTTCAGCAGTTCTAAAAAAAGAAAAATGGAAACCTGAATGTCAGGAAAGAGGTGGCTCTGGAGCCTGGAGCCCAGTTACCCTGGTTATCCACGGAGCTGGGACAGGTTACCCTGCTCTCAGGTGACAGCACCCGAAAAGGGGGGGGAATGGAGGGGATCTGGGCTGTTCTGGAGAGTGGAGCTGGGAGGGATGCCCTGGAAACATCCCTCGCCTTCCAACAGCCTCTGGTGGGAGAGGACAGAGCAAGGGAGGGCAAAATTCCTCAGGAAATTGTGATGGGACAGGGATCTGATCCCATCCTGCCTGCATGGGGGGGGCTCAGCTGGGAACAGGGACCTGATCCCTGGATGGACCCGGGATGGGCCAAGGGGCTCAGATGGAGCAGGATGGACCTGGGATGGGCCAAGGGGCTCAGATGGAGCAGGATGGACCTGGGATGGGCCAAGGGGCTCAGATGGAGCAGGATGGACCTGGGATGGGCCAAGGGGCTCAGATGGAGCAGGATGGACCTGGGATGGGCCAAGGGGCTCAGATGGAGCAGGATGGAGGAGTATCCACAGCATTTAGAGCCTGAGGAGCACGGAGAGGCCCCTTCCCCACCTCCCCCTTGCTCCCACCCCCTCTGTGATAACTCCATCTCTACCAGAGCTGGTTCAGAACTGTCTTGGTTTCCCGTGAAGGATCCAAGGAGACGGAATATTTCTCACTCACAGAGTTTCCAGATTTTCGGTCCTTCACTCCTGACAAACAGGAACTTGAACCGTTCCCCTTCCCTCCCAACTCCAGGAGCTGCTCAAACCTGGAGTCCCACAGGGCTTCCAGCCCCAGAAGCTGGAATCCAGGAAGGATTCAGACTGTGCTGAGGGAGAAAAGGTCTCCATCCTCCTCCCAACCCCTCCAAACCTCCATCCCCTCTGTGCCGTTCATCCCGGCCCGGCCCAGCTCCCACACAGATTCCTGCCTCTCCAGGGCCGGATTTAGTCACTGTGAGAGTTTCCTCTGGCTGTGCCACCTGTGAATCTCCACCAGCTCTTACTCTAATCCCGAGCAAAGATGGACAAACTGAGGAGTTCTCACTCTGCAAACACCAGTTCCCTGGAGATAAGGACAAATCCCACCCAAACAGCTTTCACCCCGTGCCCATCCCAGGTTTCTGCAGGACTATCTAAATCCCCTGGATCCTCTGGGATCCCCTCTGGAGCTGGGCTGTGACCCCCAGCACAAAGACCTCGTTTTCCTTGCACTTTAACACAAAACCTGGGAATGTCCCCTACCAGCACCCACCAGGTGAAGGCACAAGGACACGAACTCCAACGAGAACTTCCCGGGCTGCACCTCAAAGCTGGGAATTTTACTACCCTGTGGGAATTACCCCTTCTCAGATACTTAATGAAACTGGTGTTCCCAACACTGCTCCTCAGTGTGTGATGGAACAGGCTGGGGCAAAGCCACGGAACACAGGGCAGGAGGAGGGAGCTGAGCATCCAAACCCAACCAAACCAGCCCGGAAAAATCCAGCTTGGACCTACCAGGTATGTAGGCTCGCCCGTTACAGTCTTCTATATCCATCTTTGAGGGCTCTGGCTGGAAGAGAAAGCAGAGCCCAGTCAGGATCAGCCTCTGGAAGCTGCTCGGGTGTCTCCTCTTCATTTTACCCATGAAAAGAATCAGGATTTTGGGCAAGGAGAGAACACCAACACCCCGCAGGCAGCCTCTGCTCCTGGATGGGCCAAACCCGGGAGTCTGGGATGCACATTCCCAGAGCTGCACCAGCTAAAGAGGTGCCTCGTGTCCTTAAGTGCCACGAGGCAGTTCTAGTTAGTGAGGGATTAGTTAATTAGTTATAGGGGCTGCACAAAACAAGGACAACACGGGCTGGTGTCGCAACACTGGTGCTGCTCCCACCCCGGCATCTGTGTCACTGGGGTGGAGGGGACACCCCGGGCTGAGGACAATCCTGGGGCTGAGGACAATCCCGGGGCTGAGGACAATCCCGGGGCTGAGGACATTCCTGGGGCTGAGGACAATCCTGGGGCTGAGGACATTCCTGGGGCTGAGGACAATCCTGGGACTGAGGACAATCCTGGGGCTGAGGACAATCCTGGGGCTGAGGACAATCCCAGGGCTGAGGACATTCCTGGGGCTGAGGACATTCCTGTGCTGAGGACATTCCTGGGGCTGAGGACAATCCCAAGGCCCAGGACAATTCCAAGGCCCAGGACAATCCCAGGGCTGAGGACATTCCTGGGCTGAGGACAATCCCAGGGCTCAGGACATTCCCAGGGCTGAGGACATTCCTGGGCTGAGGACATTCCTGGGACTGAGGACATTCCTGGGACTGAGGACATTCCTGGGCTGAGGACAATCCCGGGGCTCAGGACATTCCTGGGACTGAGGACATTCCTGGGGCTGAGGACAATCCCAAGGCCCAGGACAATCCCAAGGCCCAGGACAATCCCAGGGCTGAGGACATTCCTGGGCTGAGGACAATCCCAGGGCTCAGGACATTCCTGGGCTGAGGACAATCCCAGGGCTGAGGACAATCCCAGGGCTGAGGACAATCCCAGGGCTGAGGACAATCCCAAGGCCCAGGACAATCCCAGGGCTGAGGACAATCCCAGGGCTGAGGACAATCCCAGGGCTGAGGACAATCCCAGGGCTGAGGACATTCCAGGACTGAGGACATTCCTGGGCTGAGGACATTCCTGGGCTGAGGACAATCCCAGGGCTGAGGACCGTCCCAGGGTCAAGGACAATCCCAGAGCCGAAGACAATTCCAGGCAGCAAAACCAGAGCCGAGCGCTCCGGAATTCCCCTTCCCGCCCCACAGCATCCATTCACTCCAGGAGTGACAACAATTTGGGCTGGAATCTCCCTCCCCAGCGCCGGGTTGTGCAGGAATTGTGGTCTGAAAACGCATCCTGCAGCTTTATTTCCATGGAAGCCCTAATTTGGCTTTTCAGCCGCGCCGGGGGATCCGCGGGCTCGGCACAACGGGAACGGCAGCGCCGTGATAAAGAGGGATTTCATTTGGGAAGTCTCTTCCCTCCTGGGCTCCACAGAAATCCCCCAAAACAGGAATTTTTAATAAAAAAAAACTATAAAGGCCAATTGTCTGTCTGAGGGGCGAACACGGCGCGGGAAGTGCTGGCACCGCTCCCTCCGCTTCCCAGGGAAACCAGGGAACAAGCAGGACCCCAGTCCATGGACAGCGAGGAGAGAGCCAGGAATTAATTACTGGGTGAGTAATTTGAGAGAGATCAGTCGGAGGAGCTGGTTCTGTAATTCCTGCTCGTGCCACCCCATCAGTGCCAATGGGATGATGGGCAGGGAGAGGTGGATTCCTCACCCCTGGTTATTTCAAGAGAACCCGGAAAAAAACACATCAGGAGCTCTTATTTCCACAGTTATTTTCCTTAATTTTGTCTGAGGCCTCCCGAGCAGGAATTGGGATTAAAAGCTGCAAATTCCCCAAATTCTCCCCAGCCCTGTGGCAACACCCAACCTCGGCTGGGAAATGGCCCTGCCAGCTCTCCGAGCCCTCTGGATCCGGACGAGCAGCCCAAAAATCTGCGCAGACGGACGGACAAAGCCCCAGCACATCCCTGGGATAACGGGGCCGCTCCCAAGGACACGGCCCAGGCTCGGAGCTCCCCTCCCCAAACCCCCTGGACACCAATCCACCCTCTCCCGGGGGGTCTGACCCGCTCCGGGGACACGCACGGCCCCGTCTCCAAACTCCCTCCCGGCTTCCAGGTGGGATTGCCCCGGGAATTGGAGGCGGGAGCGACACAATTAGAGCAGCCTCTCCTTCCCACGGAAATCAGGACTTTTCCCCAGGTGGCAACAACTCAAGGAAACAGAAAAGTCCTCCAGAGCAGCCCCACTTAAATCCCCCCGTTACAGCCGTGACTGTCCTAGAACTGGGAAAAGCCTCTTAAATCCACGGATCCCCACCTGGATCCCCCTTTACTGTTCCCATTGTGCCCAAAGCGCCGTGAAATGACTCCGAACGCTCAGCCTGGGGACACTTCCCACCTCCAGACCCCTCCAGACCCCCCAGTCCCACCCAGCAGGGAATCCACCAGCCCCGGGTGGGATCCCAACCCCAGCACCACGGAGGGAACTGCTCAGCTCCCTCCAACTCACACGGAACCGGCCTGGAACAGCAAATCCCCTCGGTCTGAGCCGTCCCTCTGCCGCAGGGATCCCTTGCCGGGACATCCCGGGGCAGGTCGGGCCCTCTCAGCCAGGAAGACCCCTCGGGAGCGGTGGAATTCCTGCCGGAACACCTCCCAGACACCACCCCAGCCCTGTCAGTGCCGAGCTCTGGCTCCTGTCTCTGCGCTGATCCTCTGCCAGGCAGCTCATCCTGGCTCTGGAAGCACCAGGAAAATGTTTCTGGGACAAACACCTCCAAGCCCCCTCGGGTAGGAACCAGCAACCACCCGAAATTCCCTGTTTCCCTTCCCAAGCCCTGCTTCCGTTCAGCTGCAGTTTATTTTCCGACATTGAGGACGTTTTTTCCACCTTTGCTGCTCCAAAACCCCAAAGGTTGTGTCAGTGGAAACGTTCCGGAGCCCATGGAAAGCCCCATCCCACCAGCATTCCCAGAGAAATGCCAAGGAAGCGGCTCCGCCAGCGCAGGGAAAAGGGAAAATAAAGTGCTGGGAGAGGTTTTAGCCATGATCAAACAGCTCCCATTGTTCCCATATTTTGAGGGATTTTACTAAATAAAATGGAACAGTGGATACAGGGGGACGGTCCCCTCTGACATTCCCAGGAAAGGCGCCCGGGGAATTCCGAGGTTGCTGTTTTAGGGATGGGGCAGAGCCCCCCCAGACCATTCCCGGTCTGTCCCACGGCTCAGCCTCCCCACGGAGCCTTAAACCCCAGGACAGGCCTGACAAGGAATCCCAGAATTATTTCGGCTGGGAAAGATCTCCAGGATCACCCAACCCAAGTCCCCTCCTCCCTGACCCTGGTTATGGGCTGGGATCCTCTCCCACAAATCCCCCGCATTCCCAGGGCCTTTTTCCTGGAACCAGGCAAACACGGCTGCGAATTCCACCCTTTTTGTGGCTAAAGCAGGGAATGAAATTCCAGACAAATCCCAGCCCGGGGGTGGCCACGGGGCCCAGCTGCGGGCGGGGACTCCAGGCACTGCTTCCCATGGGAGCAGGGATGTTATTTTTCCCTAATACTCCCTGCTTGGAGAAGCTCCTCCCCGCCGGACATCGGCCCTTCCCGGAGAAACCATCCCAAAACGGGGAACAACACGAAATTCCTCACTTTCGGCACGCTCCCAGCATCCTGCAGCTCCAGGGAAGTTCGGATTCCGAGCCAACCCGGGGGGATGTTTTCTCCCCGTGCCTTTGTCTGGGATCCAACCCCGGGGGCACCGCGCAGTAAATCACCCCGGGAGGGCTGGAAAACCATTCCAGGGGAGCCGGGGAGGGGGGAGAAGCTCCAGGACAGACAGACAGACAGACAGGACGGAGCTCCGGCCTCACTCCCGGCTCCTCCGACGGGGTTTGAACTGGAGCTGATCCCCCGGGAGCCCAGAAACGAACGCCCTGCTGGGAGCTCCCTCCTCGCTCCCGTCCCGTGCCCCGGGATAACCCCGCCGTTCCCTCGGGATCGCCGTTCCCCCGGGATCGGGAGCCGCCGGCACCCTCCCCGGGGCTCCCTGGGCTCAGGTTTCCCGGAGTCCTTGGAAGCAAAAGCCCAAGATGAGGCTAAAAATCCCTTTTCCTGGCTCTGCCGGGACGTGGCTCGGCCTTCCCGGCGGGACTTCGGGACACCCCTGGACCCCCCCGCCCCCTCCAAGGATCCAGAGGGTCCCACGGCAAAGAGGTTTCGCCTCAGGAGCTTTCCCAGGAGCCTCCTCCGGGAATTCCCCGGAGCTTTCCCAGGAGCCTCCTCCGGGAATCCCCCCGGAGCTCCGGGCAAGGCTTGGAATGGACGTGGAATAATTTAGGGGTCGGCACAGTGGGAGGGTCCCAGCGGGAACAGGGTCGGGAGCACCGGGATGGGGGGGTTTATCCCATCCGGAGCCACGTGCTGCCCATCCCGGTGGATTCCAGAGCCTCCCTGGAATCCCCCCTGCCTGGGGGGATCAGTAAGGGGGGAAGGGGGGGTCAAATCCCAGCGTCCCGTGCCAGGGACAGGGAGGAGACTCCGGCATTCCCGGGCTGGAATTTCCCCGGGCTGGAGGGGAAAACTCTGCCCGGGAAAAGCAGCCCCGGAGCCCCCCGGGCAGGAGCGTCCAGGGGGGGGCAACAGGGGCTCCCCCAAACCCTCCTATGAGCCCTCCCCGGCCAAAATCCCATCTCCCAAAAAATGGGGGCAGGAGGAAGGGAGGGAAACGGGGGGGAACGATCCCGGGGACGGAGCAGGAAAAGCCCAGGAATTGTGGTGGGGGCTCCGCTGTTCCCCCGGGCAGGGCGGGACCCCCCCAGGGCAGGGCGGGAACCCCCCCGGGCACGTTGGGACGTCCCCGGGGGAGCCCCGTTATTCCCACAAATACCTCTCCATGGATCGCTCGGGGGGGGTCCCACCCGGGGGTCCCCCCCCACAAATGGGGGTGTTTGAGGGGGGGACACACCCCCCTCAAAACGGGGGATTTCGGGGCGCAGCCGCCCCCCCCGCGCGGTGTCACAGCCCCCAAATCCTCCCGGTTCCCCTCCCTTCCCGCCCCCCCCGGCACAGACCCCGCTCAGCACCCGACCCCCCCAACCAGCCCCCCCAGACCGACCCCTGACACCCCCCGGGGGGACACGGACCCCAGAAACAGCTCCCCCAAAGAAACTCCTGACACCCGCCGGGGGGGGACACGGACCCCTCCCCAAATCAGCCCCCCCCGACACACCCCTGCGGACGGACAGACACCGCGCCCCCGACCCACCGCCCGCAAAGAGCCCCCCGCCCCCCGAACCAGCCCCCCCCGCCCCCCGTCCCGTCCCGTTCTCACCGGCGGGGTGGGGGCGGGCTCGGGAGGCCCCCCCGGCCCGGCCCGGCCCTGGGGGGCTCAGGGGGGTCCGGGAGCGGCGGCGGCGGCGGCTCCACCTGAGGAGGCCCCGGGCCCCCCCCCCCGAGCCACTTCCGGCCCCGCCAGCCCGCGCCGCCGAGCGCCGAGCGCATCGAGCGGGGCCGCGGGGGGGCAGGCGCGGGGGCTCAGCCGAGCGCCGAGAGCGTCGATGGGGAAGGCGCGGCGGGGGATTGGGAGGGAGGGGAGGGACGAGCGAGGATCGATGGCCCGGCATCGATCAGTGGGGGCCGGTAGCCGGTGATCGGTAACCAAGGATCGATGGCCGGTGATGCATAAGCGAGGGCTGATAGCCGGTGATCAATGACCAGGAATTGCTAGGCGGTGATCGGTAACCAAGGGTCGATATCGGTGCTCATTTACTGAGACCAATAGCCAATAGCTGGTGATCAATACCGAGCACGGATGGCCGACAGGGCAGGGACGGGCTGGGAGGTATCGGGGGGTCCCCAGGGCAGGAAGGGCCAGGGGGGCCCTTGGGGTCAGGGGTTATTTAGTGTTGGGGGTTATTTGGGGTTTGGGGTCCCATGGGGTCAAGGGTTATTTAGGGTTTGGGGTCCCATGGGGTCACAGGTTATTTAGGATCAGGGGGTTACACAGGGTCACAGGGCCCTAAGAGGGTCAGGGGGTCCCATAGCGTTCATGGGGTCTTATAATGTCACAGAGTCCCATTGGGGCAGGAGCCTATTTATGGTCAGGGGGTACCATGAGGTCACAGTGTCCTGTAGGATCAAGGGGTCCCATAGGATCAAGGGGTTATTTAAGGTCAGAGGTTATACAGGGTCACAGGGCTCTATAGGATCAGGGGGTCCCATACAGTCAGGGGGTCCCAGAGGGTCACAGGGTCCTATAAGGCCACAGTGCCCCATAGAAGCAAGGGGTCCCTTGGGTCAGGGGGTTATTTAAGGTCAGGGGGTCCCACGGTGTCAGAGGGCCCCACAGGATCAGGGGCTCCCACCCATTCAGGGGGTCCCACGGGGTCCCAAGGTCACCTGTGCACAGGGGGGTCCCTTGGCAGCCGCTCCGAGGGGCCCAGGGGGGCTCTGTGAGGTCCCCAGACCCACCCCCCCTCCCCTCCCCGTCCCGCCGTGCCCTCGCTGCCCCAGGAAACAGCCAAGACCATAAAACTTCCCAATCTTTATGGAGCCGCTTTCACGTGCCGGGGGCGGTAAAACCGGGCGACCTTCGAGCCGCGGCCCCGCGTCCCACGCGCCGGGGCCGTTCGGGGCTCAGCGGGCGACGGTGACGCGGACGCGGTGCCAGGCGTTGCTCAGGACCCCGCGCAGGTTCCAGATGGGCCCCACGGTGTCGGGCTGCACGTTGTAACTGGCGTCCACGGCCTTGCACACGATCTCCAGCTCCGCGCCCGCCGCCACGGGCGCCCGCAGCTCCCACAGCACCCAGGCCCAGGCCCGGCCCGGCGCCGGCCGCTCCCCCGCCAGCTCGGCCGCCCGCCACGTGCGCCCGCCGTCCAGCGACACGTCCACCCGCACCACCCGGCGCCCGCCGCCGCTCCACGCGTAGCCCTTGACCGCCAGCTCGCCCGGCGGCACCGCCGCGCCCGGCCGCGGCTGCGTGATGGCCGACTGCACCGGCAGCTCCTGGATGGCCGGCGCCGTCCGGTAATCCACCGTGTCCCAGTCCACCGACGGGCAGAAGCCCTTGTAGTCGTTCTGCTGCCAGTGGCTGGGGCTCTCGGCCGGGCTCACGGCCACGCGCCGCAACCACTTGACGCTGCGGGCGCCCACCACGCCGGGCACCACCACGCGCACGGGGAAGCCGTGGTCGCGCGGCAGCTCCTCGCCGTTCATCTCGTAGGCCAGGAGCACGTCGGCGTCGGGGCTGACGGCGCGCCCGTAGGGGATGGAGGCTCCGTAGGGGGCCCCCCCCACGTCCTCGTCGAGCCCCTCGAAGCAGACGTGCCACTCGCCGTCGCGGCGCTCGCCGAAGCCGGCGTGGAGCAGCACGTCCCGCAGGCGGGCGCCGCCCCAGCGCGCGGTGCTGATGGCCCCGATGTCCCAGGGCAGCCCCTTGACGGGGCGCACGCGGCTCATCTCGGCGCGGCGGTTCCCGGCGCACTGGAGCGTCGCCGTCACCTCGTGCTTCGGGAAGCGGCTCCGCAGCTCCGGCAGCGACAGCGACAGCGCGCGGCCCCCCGGGCCCTCCACCCGCAGCCGGTACGAGCGGGGGTCCACGGCGGGCACGGGCAGGTGGTTGCGGGTGAAGAAGAGCTCGTTGGGCGTCAGGAAGCTCTCGGTCAGGAGCTCCGCCGGCGGCTCCGCGTTGAACGGCTTCAGGCTGTTGACGCGCATCCCCGGGTGCCGGGGGGGGTCCCCGGCGAAGGGGTCCTGGGCGGCGTCGGGGCTCGGTGGGGCCTCCTCGGGGCTCAGCTCGCCCACCTTGTACTCCCGCAGCAGCTCCAGCACGTGGGGCTGGCTGTGCACGGCGTAGAGGGCCCAGAAGGGCTCCAGGGCCCCCCCGGCCGCCAGCAGCACCTTGTCGGCCCCCCCCGGGTGCAGCTCCACAAAGTCGGTGACATCGAAGACCTCGGTGCCGTGGGTCACCCACACCCGGTCCCCAGGGCTGCGGTGCCGCCGCACCTCCTCCCGTGTGTACACGGGGTACCGGGGGGCCGGGGTGGCCTGGGCTGTCTGGGCGCTCTGCGGGACCCCGACCCCGTCAGGGGGGGACGCTGCGCCCGGGGACCCTTCCCCGGGGCTCCCGCCCAGGACTTTGGGGTGTCCCCCCAAAATCAGGCCCTTGCTGAGGTGACCCACAGTTGGGAGGGGAAGGGGCAGCCCCTGCCCCCTCCCCAGCTAAACTCACTGTCTCCGTTCCAGAGAAGAACCGAGGGGGTCCCAGAGGATCCGGATCCTCCCCCCCATCCCCCGGTACCGTATCCCTCAGACCCCGCTGGCTCGGTGCCGTTCCCCCCACCCCGGGATCCACCCCTCGCCCCGGTGCCACTCCTTTCCCCCGCGATCCACCCCCCGGCACCACCCCCTTCCCCCGCGATCCACCCCCCCGGTTCTCCATCCCCGGGACCTCGTTGTCCCGGTGTCACCCCTTTCCCAGGATCCAGTGCCCCCCCCCCCCGGGTGCCACCTCCTTTTTCGGGATCCCCCCCCGCGGTGCTGCAGCCTCAGGACCCCCCGTCCTGGTGCTGCCCCTTCCCCGGGATCCCCCCACCCCGCTGCCTCCGTCCCAGGGAAGGACCCAGGGGTGTCACCCCTCCCCGCAGGACCCCCCCCGGTGCCGCCCCCCCGGTGCCGCCCCCCCGGTACTTCTCCCGCCATCCCGGCGCTCAGCCCGCCCGGTGCCGCTCACCCTTCGCCGCCGTTCTCCGTAGGCGAGGACGGCCCCGAGCCCCAGCAGCGCCGCCAGCACCGGGGCCGCCCCCCGGCGTCCCCCCCCGGCCGCGGCACCGGCGGCGAACCGGGAGGAGCCGCGGCGGAGCTGCGTCAGCGGCGGGAGCCTGCGGGGACAGCGGGGGCTCACACCGGGCCCCGGCGGGCACCGGGGAGCCCTGACGGGGCGGGCGGCTCTTACCTGCGCCCCACGACGGCCCGGAGCAGCAGCATCGCGGCGGCTCCTGAACGGGAGAGAGACGGAGAGCGGCTGGAACGGTCACCGGACGCCGTTACCGGGAAGCGGCTCCGGTGACGCTCCCGGGGGAAACAGGAATCGGGGACATCCGCGTGTGACAAACCCTCCTCTCCCCCCCGCCAACCCCAGCCTGTCCCACTCCCAGTTTTCCCACCGCCCGGTCCATCCCAGTCCCGGTGCTCCCTCCACCAGCCCGGTCCCGGTTCTCCCCCCTCCCCAGTCTCAGTCTGGCCCCGGTTCTCCCCCCTCCCCAGTCCCATCCCGGTCCCGGTTCTCCCCTCTCCCCAGCCCCAGCCCGGTCCCGGCCGTGTCCCGGTTGCCCCCGTCGCCCACCTGCGTAACGGTTCCGCTCCCGCGACGTCTCAGCGGCGCTGCCGCTTTAAGAGGGGGGCGAGGGGCGGGACCTCAAGGGGGGTGAGCCCCCTGACCACGCCCCCTCTGTTTACCTTAGCGGGGCCGCGTGGGCGTGGCCTCACCGGAGAGTGGGCCCCACCAGCCCGGGCTTAAAGGGGCAACAGCGGCCCCAGCCCTTGGGGGGTTTAAAGCGGCCCCGCGGTCGGGTCTCCGCGGGCAGCGCTGCCCCGGTGCCGGTACCGGTTCTCCCGACAAGGTCAAAGCCCCGGCGGCCGCCACCCAACTGGGAGCTCCGATAAGTCTTATCAGGGCAGAGCCGCGATCTCACACCGGCTGCTGGCACCGGATGGCTCCGGCTCCTGCCCCGTGCCAACAGCGGGTGGCTGCGTGGTCCAAGTCACCCCCCCCCGCCCCAAACCCCGCCCTGAGCACACAAAGTTCTTTATTTTTGTTTTCCTTCTGTTTTTGTTGTTCGGTTTGGTTTTACTTACATTAAATACATCGGTAAATTAGCGGCCGAGTTCTGTTACCACGATTGTTATTTCACTGCGATGGAGGAGCTTTCCCAAAGCAAAAATAATAACAATAATAAGAGAAAAAGCAGAAAAAAAGAGGGAAAAAAAAAGAGTGAGAGAAGCTGCAGTGTCCCTCATTTGGTCCAGGGTTTGGGCTAGAAGATGGGGAGGGGGTCTGGGGTCCCCAGCCCTTGTTAAATACGTGTCACCCACTCGGGGGGCTCCCAGGCCGTGACATGAAGCACTGGGAGCACCAGAACGGTGGCCAGAGGGTCCCTGGGGGGCTGCCCCGGCAGCGGGAGGGGCTGAAATCCTGTGGGCTCTGCCCCCGTGCTGGGGGGCTTCATATGAGACTGGTCCCTCTGCCCCACAGCCACGGCCCCCCCAGTTCCCCCGGGCCCGAGGGGTCCCCAGAGCCCCCCACGCTGCCAGCAGGGAGCCAGGCCCAGGTGGGTGCTGCCAGTTTGGGGTGTCCCTGATTTGGGGTGTCCACATTTTGGGGTGTCCCCTTGTGTGGCAGCACCTGGGACGGGGGACCTCGCCTGTCCCACCCCACCACTGAGGGTCCCTCCAGCTCCAGAAGTTCCGAAGGGAAAAGCAGAGGGACAAGGGGAGGGTGGTGGCACCGCTGCCCCCCCGGCACCCCCCGGCCACACGAACAGAACCGAGGTGAGTCCCAACAGGACATTTCACCACTAAAGTGCAAACCAGGACCAGGACAAACCGTGGAGATCGGTGGGAGCACCAGGGGGACGTGGACGTGGGCTGGGATCACCAGGAGCAGGGGACAGCCTGTGGGGTGTGGCCAAGGTCACCGAGGTCAGGATGAGCAGGGGGACATCGCCCGTGGGGCAGCCACAGCTGGGATCACGTCACCTGTGGGGTGGCCACCAGCATCACTGGGGGGATGTCACCCATGGGGTGGGATCACTGCGGGCACCTGGGGGGGCCACCACAGCCGGGATCACCAGGGGGACATGGTGGCCACAGCTGGGGTGACCGTGGGGACACCACTGAGGGGTGGTCACAGCTGGGGTGACCATGGGGACACCACTGAGGGGTGGTCACAGCTGGGGTGACCATGGGGACACCACTGAGGGGTGGTCACAGCTGGGGTGACTGTGGGGACACCACTGAGGGGTGGTCACAGCTGGGGTGACCGTGGGGACACCACTGAGGGGTGGCCACAGCTGGGGTGACTGTGGGGACACCACTGAGGGGTGGCCACAGCTGGGGTGACCGTGGGGACACCACTGAGGGGTGGCCACAGCTGGGGTGACTGTGGGGACACCACTGAGGGGTGGCCACAGCTGGGGTGACCGTGGGGACGTGCCCACAGAGCCATAACACAGCGGAGTGAGGGCGGGCGCTGGGGAGGGGTCGCCTGCAGCGCTCGGGGTCCGGCAGGAACCCACTGCCCCCCTCCCAAAAAAAGTCCCCAGGCACTTCCAATCTTCCATCAAAAAGGCCACCTCGGAAGAAATGAAGGACACTGCAGCTTCCCTCTCCCCGACAGCCCAACGGGAGAGAGGAGGGGGGAGAAAATAATAAAACTCCGGAGAAATCCGTGCCAGACCCTCTGGAAAAGCCCCGTCGGCTCCGGAGGGCTCTGGTTCCGGCCGGTTCGGAGCTGCCGCCCCCCGGGACCCCCCCCACGGGGTGGGGGCAGGAGGGGGCAGTTTGGGGAACCCAGATTTCCCAAAGCAGAGAGGGAGGGGGAGAGGGGGAGATGGAGGGAGGAATCCGAGCGTTAGGGCGCTATTTGCACCTATAATACAAAGTGAAGAAGAGTTCGTTGTTTCTCAGAAGTTAAGTCCCAGCTGATCTGGCTCCGCTGCCTCCGGGGTGGTGGGTGGGGTGTTGGGATCGGGAGCCGGTGGGATCAGGTGCCAGGTGGGATCGGGTGCCAGGTGGGATCGGGTGCCGAGTGGTGGCTTCGAAGCATTAAAAAGTGCAGTTAGAGGAGCTCTGGGAGGGTCCTGGTTCGGGGGTCTCGGTGCCGGGGTGGAGGTGCGGCGTGGACGGGGATGGAGGTGGGGTCTTGGCTCAGTTGCTACAGCACTGGCTCCTGTTCTGCTGGCTCTGCTCGTGCAGGTCCACGCCCCGGCTCCGGCCCCCGGCGCCGCTCGTGCTCTGGGGCTCGTTCTTTGGCAGCTTCTTGGCTGGAGGGGGGACACGGGAGGTGGGACTGGGAGGTGGGACTGGGAGGGGCGACCCAGCTGAGTCACCTCAGCACAGAATCCCAGAATCCTTGAGGCTGGGAAAAGCCCTCCCAGCCCATGGATCCCCCCTGTGCCTGATGCCCACCTTGTCCCCCAGCCCAGAGCTCTGGGTGCCACCTCCAGGCCTTCCTGGGACACCTCCAGGGGTGGGGACTCCAAACCTCTCTGGGCAGCCCCTGCCAAGGCCTGAGCACCCTTTCCATGGAGAAATTCCTCCTGATGTCCAGCCTGACCCTCCCCTGGCACAGCTGGAGGCCGTTCCCTCTTGTCCTGTCCCTTGTTCCCTGGGAGCAGAGCCCGACCCCCCCGGCTCCCCCCTCCTGTCAGGGAGCTGTGGAGAGCGAGAAGGTCCCCCCTGAGCCTCCTTTTCTCCAGTTGGGCCCTTCCCAGTGAGAAGGAGCCGCTTCCCTTTGCGCTGCTCCCTCCCAGCCCTGGCACAACCCCCCCTGCCCTGCTCAGCCTCCCAAAAAGCCCGTTGGGGGTGGGACAACCAGCCCCCCCGTGCCCCCGGGGAGCCTCACCGATGGCCAAGAAGAGGTCGTTCACATTCATGGCAGTCTTGGCCGACGTCTCCATGAACAACAGGCTGTTGTCGTCCGCGTACGCCTGCGCCTCCTGCACGGACGGGACCGTCAGCGCCGGCACCTCCCGGCCCCGGGAGCGCCCCCGGCCCCGGGACCCCCAGGAGGCCCCTCACCTCATACTCCACCATGCGTTTGCTGGCCAGGTCAGCCTTGTTGCCGGCCAGGGCGATGACGATGCTGGGGCTGGCTTGTCTCTGCAGCTCCTTCACCCATGTCTTCGCCCGCGCGAACGTTTCCTGCGGCAGAGCTGGGAATTCAGGGACGATTCCCATCCCTGTGGGGACACAGGACCCCCCCGAGCCCCTGCCCCACCTGGTTGGTGATGTCGTAGACCACGATGGCGGCCTGGGCGCCCCGGTAGTACATGGGGGCCAGGCTGTGGTACCGCTCCTGCCCCGCCGTGTCCCAGATCTCGAACTTCACCGTCGTGTCGTCCAGGCACACGGACTGGGTCAGGAACGCCGCTGCCGGGAGGGGGGGGTCAGTGACGGCCGGGGGAGCCGCCCCTGCACCCCGGGTCCTTCCCCGCATCCCAAGTCCTTCCGGGGAGCCCTCCCTGCGCCCCCGCTCGCGTCCCGGGAGGGACTGGCAGCCTGGGCTCGTGTTCAACGGGACTCACCCCCGATGGTGCTCTCCTGGTACTCGTGGAACTGCCCCTTCACGAAGCGCAGCACGAGGCTGGACTTGCCCACGGCCGACTCTCCCAGCAGCACCAGTTTGAACTGGCAGATCTTACTGGCCTGGGACTGCCCGTTGGGCCTGGCGGCCCCGCGGCTCGTCATGGCCCCAGTGCTGCCGGACCCACTGGAGAGCTGGGAAGGCACCGATCCCTCGGCTCTCCTGGGGGGAGAAGGGGAGAGCCCTCAGCACAACGCTCCCCCAGGGCGGGATCATCCCCACGGGATCCGTCCCCGGGGGTCTCCCCCCTCCCCGGGGCTCCCCCCGGCACGGGGCAGGGACTCGCCGGCCACGGCCGCGCTCCCCGAGCTCCAATTCCCGAGGGATTTCCTGGAGCAGCTGGGTGGGAAGGAGCTAATCTGGGAGCCAGGCCGCCGGGATCCGGCAGCCGAGGAGGCTGGGAGTGAGTCAGCACTCCTCCCGCTCCCCGAGCAGCCCCAGCCGGGACACGCCGGAGCCGGGAAGGGGCGGCAGGACGGCGGCTCCAGGCCCGGGAGATGCCACAGTGGCTCCGGCTGCCGGCCGGGAAGAGGCTTTGGAAAACTCCCCGGCTCTTCCCAAACGTCCCCTCGCCCTGGTTTGGGGGTTTTTTTTGTTTATTTCTCCCCGGTTTTGCTTTGTTTTCCACTCCCGACTGGAGTAGCAGGGGCTGATGGTGCTGCCCAGGTCGGGGTTCAGAGCACATCCCCCGGGATGGAGCACAACCCCTGCACATCCCCCGGGATGGAGCACAACCCCTGCACATCCCCCGGGATGGAGCACAACCCCTGCACATCCCCCGGGATGGAGAACAACCCCTGCACATCCCCCGGGATGGAGCACAACCCCTGCACATTCCCTGGGATGGAGCACAACCCCTGCACATTCCCCGGGATGGAGCACAACCCCTGCACATTCCCTGGGATGGAGCACAACCCCTGCACATTCCCTGGGATGGAGCACAACCCCTGCACATTCCCTGGGATGGAGAACAACCCCTGCACATCCCCCGGGATGGAGAACAACCCCTGCACATCTCCCGGGATGGAGAACAACCCCTGCACATCCCCCGGGATGGAGCACAACCCCTGCACATTCCCTGGGATGGAGAACAACCCCTGCACATCTCCCGGGATGGAGAACAACCCCTGCACATTCCCTGGGATGGAGAACAATCCCTGTCAGCGCCCGGAACACGCGGCTCTGGGAGGGGCACTCGGAGACCAACCGGGAGCCCCGGGGTCACCGGGCAGGAGGAATTCCTGCCGGGATTGTGTTTGTCTCGGGATCTAACCTCGCTGTGCCCAGGAATGCTCCGTCCCGAGCCCGCAGCAGATTCTGGCGGGGCCAGGACAGGGATCAGAGACCAGCCCAGGCAGAAAGTTGTTTGTGGCCAGTTCCCCTTCCCGGGAGCAGGGATCCAGCCGGATCCCAGCAGGAAACAACTCCAACCCCAGCACAGATCCAACCCGGCTATCCCAGAGAAGGGGGTTGTTCTGTTCCCCCCCAAGGCCCGGCAGAGCCCTGGGAACACGAACTCCTCCACACATCACTTCCCGAGGCACAGGCAATGCTACAACCCCCAAAGCACTTTTTCCAGGACCTCTGGGTCCCGGTGGATCCCGGCTTTCTGTGGACTCCCAGCACCATGGGGGCTCCTCCTCCACAGGGAGGTGGGAGCTTCCTCCTCCCCCCTGCTCCAAGGGGAGCTCCAGGACGGAGCCATCCCTTCCCCACTGCTCCCCTCAGAGCCCCTGGACACCTCCTGGAGCCCCTGGACACCTCCCGGAGCCCCTGGTTTCCTGGAGGCTTCAGCTCTTCTCACACCTGGGGCTGGATGGCCCCATCCAGCTCTGGATGGAGCCAATGCTCCAGGACGTGTCCATCCCCACCTGTGTTGGCCACACGGATCCAGGAGATCCCAGGGATCCTCTGAGGGATCATGGGAGACACAATCCCCCAGACTCGGATTCCCTCAGAGGGAACTTGGATTATTGGGCCATCAGACCCATCAGTTCCCACCAGAACATCCCAGCTCCAGGTGGAAGGTGCCCACACCTCAATCCCAGGGATTCTGCTGCCATTTCGGGTGTTCCCGTGCTGTCAGCTGCTGGATCCACGGAGCGAGGCAGCACGTGGGGATACCAACCCTGCTCTCCCTGGCTGCTGGAGCACTGGATGCCCCCTGAATGGAACCCTGGGATCCCTCTCTAATGGAATACTGTGATCACACCTTGATGGAATGCTCGGATCCATCCTTGACAAAACACTGGATCCTTCCTTGGTGAAACACTGGGATCTCTTCTCAATGGAACACTGGGATCCCTCCACAACGAAACACCAGGATCACTCCTCATCAAAGCACTGGGATCTCTCCTCAATGGAATACTGGGATCTTGCCCTGACAATGGATCAACCAGGGCTGTGTCAAGCCACAGGGATCCTGAGGGGCCTCGCTCCAGCTCCCCCAAAATACCATCTGGTGCAGCCCTTCCTAAAGGGGACTGAGCTGGGACAGAGCTGGGACAGAGCTGGGATGGAGCTGGGATGGAGCCGGGACGGAGCTGGGACGGAGCTGGGACGGAGCTGGGACAGAGCTGGGACAGAGCTGGGACAGAGCCGGGATGGAGCCGGGACGGAGCTGGGACGGAGCCGGGACAGAGCTGGGACAGAGCTGGGACGGAGCTGGGACGGAGCTGGGACGGAGCCGGGACGGAGCTGGGACAGAGCTGGGACAGAGCTGGGACGGAGCTGGGACAGAGCTGGGACGGAGCCGGGACGGAGCTGGGACGGAGCTGGGACGGAGCTGGGACAGAGCTGGGACGGAGCTGGGATGGAGCCGGGACAGAGCTGGGACAGAGCCGGGACAGAGCTGGGACGGAGCTGGGATGGAGCTGGGATGGAGCCGGGACGGAGCTGGGATGGAGCCGGGACAGAGCTGGGACAGAGCTGGGACAGAGCTGGGATGGAGCCGGGACGGAGCTGGGATGGAGCCGGGACAGAGCTGGGACGGAGCTGGGATGGAGCTGGGATGGAGCCGGGACGGAGCTGGGATGGAGCCGGGACAGCCCGTCACTGGGATTGCGACAGCCCGGCCAGTAACGGCTTTTCCTGTTGCCACCCGGGCTGTTCCTGTGGCCCAACCGCGCCCTGACAGAGCCACGTGGGGCTGGGACCACCAGGACCGGCCCCAGCAGTGCTGGGGTGGCCACAGGGACCACCAGGACCGGCCCCAGCAGTGCCAGGGGGCCCGGGGGGAGCCCGGCCTTGGCCACAGGGCCGGGACAGAGGAGCCAGGACTCGGCTGTGAGGGACTGACGGGCACCCCGGGGGAGGGAAACCCTGGGATCCCTCCCTAATGGAACACTGGGACCACTCCCCAGTGGAATACTGGGATCACTCCCTAATCAAACACTGGGATCCACCTCTAACGAAAAAGTGGGATCCTTCCCCAACAAGACACCAGGATCCCTCCTCAGTGGAACACTGGGACCTTTCCTTAACAAAACACCGGGATCCTTCCTCAATGGAACCCTGGGGTTCCTCCCTAATCAAACACTAGGACCCCTGATTATTGAAACGCTGGGACCCCTCCCCAGTGACACTCCGGGATCTTGTCCCAGCTCCAGGGATCTGGCCGAGCCCTGGCTGTCCCCCAACCCCTCGGGCACAGTGACCACCCGGCCCCACCGTCCCTCCCCAATCCAACCACATGCCCAGGGCCCCCCGGAGAGGATCCTCATCCTCCCAGAGAGATCCCAGGGGATCCCTGGAGGGGAACAGGAGATTCCCTTGGGACAGAATCCACGGATGTGCTGCTCCAGGAAGGGCCAGGCACCTCCGTGTCCTGATGGCTCTGGGGGGTTTGTGCTGCTGGAGACCCACACTCCAGGGACAGGGAGCACCCTGGGGGACAGGGAGCACCCTGGGGGACAGGGAGCACCCTGGGGGACAGGGAGCACCCTGGGGGACAGGGAACACCCGAGGACAGAGAGCACCCCGTGGCTCAGTGGAGCCTCAGTGGAGCAGGAGAGGCCCAGGGAGCCCCAGCTCAGGGTGAAGGCACCCGGGGACCCCCATTCTGGAAGAACCCCGACTTGGGGGGAGCCTCAGCTCTGAGGGTTCCCAAATTCTGGGGAGCCCCAGCTCGGGGGGAGCCCCAGTTCAGATCCCCAGCTCCAGGGCAGGGACTGGGAGGAGGGATGAGCACCCGGCAGGGAAGGAGTCGGGGCCTCCCCCAGCCCCCCCAGAGGAGCCCCCCCAGCGCAGGGATAGGGCAGGAGCTGGGGGGGAATGGGGGGGGTCTCCCTGTCCGTGATTCACCCCCAAACTCCTGGAGCAGCCAATCCCACACCGGGAATTCCTACCAGGACTGGGACCGGCCCCAAACACGGGGGGTCCCACAGCCCAACCCGGACCCCCCTCCCGGGGAGGGGCCGGGGGGCTCCCGGTGCCTCTGCCCGGGCCGGGGAAGGGAGGCCCAGAACCGGCCAAGTGTGGGGAGAAGTGCCCCAAAAACGGGCTAAACACCCCCAGAACGGGGTAGAGACCCCCAGAACGGGAGGGGGGGGTAACGACCCCCGTACTGGGGAGGAGGAAACACCCCCATAGCGGGGAGGGGGGTAAAACCCCATAGCGGGGCACCGCCCGCTCCCCACGGGAAGGACCCGGCCCCGACCCCGCGACACCTCCGGGAGGGGGTCCCGGCCCCCCCAGTTCTTCCCCAAACCCCGCCCGGGGGGTGGAGCCCCCCCAACCTCCCCCAGCTCCCCGGGGCCCGCCCGTGCCCGCGCTCCCGCCCCGCCGTGCCCCCCCCGCTCCCGGCGCCGCCCCGGCGGTGCCGCCCCCCCGGTGCCCCCCCGGTGCCCCCCCGGTACCTCCGGTCGCTCCCGGCGCGGCCCCGAGCGCACAAACAGCGCTCAACCAAACCCTGCTGCCGCGGGCGGGACCGAGCGGCGCCACAGCCAATCAGCGCCGCACCCGCCTCCGCGCCGCGCCAATGGGAGGACGGGCCAGGGCATGGCGCCCCGCCCCCGCGCGGCTTGGCAAATGGGTGGCGGCGAGCGGGGTAATGGGCAGGGAAACGGCCAATAAGAAGGGAGGGAGCGTCATGAGGAGGCGGGACCTAGGCTGAGCGACACGGCATGGGACTAATGGAGCCGCGCAGGGGGCGCGGAGCCGACAACAAATAAGGTGACCTAAGGGGGCGGACCTCGAGAGGGCCAGCAGCCAATGAGAACGCGGGGAGATGCAGCCTCGCCTAATCACAGGAGGTGGTTCCCGTGACTGACAGGAGGGGCCGCCGGAAGCCGCGACCCATGAGCGCCCCGCCCATGGCTGGGGGGCGGGCCCACGGCTAGCCAATCGCGACGCTCCAGGGCGCACGGGGGCGTGACCTCGGGTGCCCCCGGGGCTGGGGGGACACGGGGGGGTTTGGGGGGCAAAGGGGACACGGGGGGGCCCTACGGGGGGGCCCTACAGGGGCACATGGTGGGGACGGGGGGACACGAACAGGGGAACGGGGGGAAGGTCTGGGTGCCATTTGGGGGGCCCCACGGGCAGAGGGGGCAATGGGGGAGTGATGTGACAGATCAGGGGGCGACGGTGACACAGTCCCCCCCCGAAATCCCCCCCGCCCCCCCTTGCAGGCACCACACGCCAAGTTCGACATTTTGCTACGAAAATTTGCAGAAGTTACAAAAAAAACCCACGAGGGGGGAGGGGAGGGGCAGCAGGGCCCCCGAGGGGGGGGCAGGGGCCCAGGGGGGGACAAGGGGGAGTCCCCATCAGTGGGAGTCCCCCGGGATGAAACCAGTGTCCCACCCCCGCGGGGCTGAGACGAGGCAGGGACAGACCCCCCCATAGCACCGAGCTCGGGGACAGCGAGGAGGGGGAGGAGGATGGGGGGGGACACAAAGGTGCTCAGCCCCCCCCGTGCTGGTCCCAGAGACCCCCCAGAGGGGCCATTAAGTGCCAAGAGTCCAGGTTGGGGGGGGGCCCCCTGGGTGCTGTGGGGGCGGAGCAGGACGGGCCTTGGGACCCCCCCTGTCCCGGTGGGGGGGGTCTGGCTCTGCTCTGGGGGGGCCCCTGGGGTGGGGGGGTTCTCAGAGGCGCAGGTGGGGGACAGCTCGGGTGACATCCTGGAAAAAGGGGTGTCCCAGCGCCGCCTTGGCGGAGATCCTCTTGTTGGGGTCGTAGTGCAGCATTTGCTGGGGGAGGAAAGGGGGTGAGGGGGCGGTTGGGGGGTCGCACACGCCCCCCCACCGCCCTGAGCCCCTCACTCACCGCCAGCAGCTTCCGCCCCTCCTCGTCCAGCGGAGGCACCACTTTGCCGAAGTCCTGGCGGGCCCATTTCGGGAAGCTGGGCTTGTAGTCGGGCATGGCCGAGACCCCCGGCCAGGCGGCCTCGTCGGGGGTCCCCAGGGTGCGGAAAATCCGGAAGAGCTGGTCGATCTCCGAGTCCCCCGGGAACAGGGCACGGCGGGTGATCTGGGCGGGGGGGGGGGACCCCAGAGTCACCTCGGGGGGGCCTGAGCACCCTGGGGGGGACCAGAGTCACCCGGGGAGGGTCTGGGGACGCTCAGGACACACCCAAGGGACCCCAGAGTCACGCTGGGGGGCTCTGGGGACCCCCTGGGCACCAAACCCTTGGTCTCATCCCAGGGACGCCCATTCTCCCACCCCCTACCCCCCCCTACACTTCTGAGCCCCCCCAGGCATCCCCCCTGTGCAGAGCTGGACCCCCAGAGGGACAGGGGGTCTCACATCGGGCCCTGCTCCACCCCCAGCATGGCCACGGCCCCTCCTGGGGGTCCCTGGGACCAGCACTGGGGGGGCTGAGCACCTTCATCCCCCCCCTCCTCCTCGCTGTCCCCCAGTGCAGCACCAGGGGAGGTCTGTCCCCCAGGGATGGGGGTCACACGCGGCCCCCACCCCGTGAGCTCTCACACCAGCCCCTCGTGACCCCCCTGTCCCGGATTTCCGGGGGCTGTGGTCGCCCGCGTGACGTGGGCATGGGGGGGCCTCACATGATGTCCCCCCCGGACCCTCACAAAGCCCCTTTGTCACCCCACACCCTGCCGACGTCAGGGCTGCACCCCGGGAGCCGCTGGGCTGACCCCCAGGGTGGGGGGAGCACAGCCCAGGGGTCCACAGTGTCACACCAGGGGGGTCTGGGGACCCCCAGCACACACCCTGGGGAACCCCAGAGTCACTCTGGGTGGTCTGAGCACCCTGGGGGACCCCAGAGTCACTCTGGGGCACATCCAGGGGATCTCAGCACCACCCTGGGGGAGGGGGTATGGGGGACCCCCAGGGCACACTCCCAGGGACCCCACCGTCATCCTGGGGGCTCTGAGCACGCTGGGGGGGCCCAGCATCAGCCCGGGGGGCTCTGGGGACCCCCGTGTCACCCACCATCTCAGCGAAGATGCAGCCCAGGCTCCAGATGTCCACGGCCGTCGAGTAGTACTTGCAGCCCAGCAGGATCTCGGGGGCTCGGTACCACAGGGTCACCACCTGCCACACCCGGGGGACGCCGTGAGCACCCCTGACCCCCCCAGCACCCCCAGAGCCCCCCCGGCGCCCACCTCGTGGGTGTAGGTGCGCACGGGCACCCCGAAGGCGCGGGCCAGCCCGAAGTCGGCCAGTTTGATGGCGCCGTCGGCGTTGATGAGCAGGTTCTGCGGTTTGAGGTCGCGGTGCAGCACCCGGTGGGCGTGGCAGAACGCCAGGCCCTGCAGCAGCTGGAACAGGTAACTCTGCGGGGCCGGGGGGGTCAGCGTGGCCGGGACCCCTCCCCCAGGCTGCTCAGCCCCCCGGGACCCCCGCTCGGGGTGAGCTGGGGCCTGCCCGGGGGTCCCCACAGCCCCCCGGGTGACGATGGGATGCCCCAGGATGTGCCATGGGGCACTCCAGTGTCACCCTGGGGGGGTTTACGGACCCCCTGGGCACATCCTGGGGGACACCAAGGGACCCCAGAGTCACCCCGGGGGGGTTTAGGGCCCCACACCGTGGCCCCCTCCCACCTTGATGAGGGGCAGCGCGATGCCGCTGAGGGACGAGGAGTCCATGAACTTCTTCAGGTCCTGGTGCAGGAACTCGAAGACCAGGTAGAGCTTGTTCTCCGTGTGGATCACGTCCAGGAGCCTGAGGGAGGGGTGGGCAGAGCCTGGGCCACAGGGCCCCCCCACAGCCCCGGGGCTTGGCATGGCCACGGGGCTGTCACAGCCAGGGGCACGGGGGTCCCAAGGCCTCAGCTCCCCATGGGGCCACCCCACAGCCACAGTTCCCTGCATCTCCCCACGGCCACGGGGGCCCCCATGGCCACGGCTCCCCCCAGCCGGGGTCCCCTCACAGCCACGGGGCTCGGCACGGTCCCAGGGCTCCCCCCAGCCCCCACTCACTTGACGATGTTGGGGTGGTTGAGCTCCTTGAGCAGGGAGATCTCCCGGATGGCCGTGCTGGGGACGCCCTCGGTCTCCCTGTGGGAAGGGGGGGTGAGCCCCGGGACCCCCGAACCCCCCGGACCCCCCCGGGACCCCCCACTCACGTGTCCAGGCGGATCTTCTTGAGTGCCACCACCTCCCCCGTCACCTTGTTCCGGGCCTTGTACACGACGCCGTAGGTGCCCTCCCCGATCTTCTCCACTTTCTGGAAGTTCTCCATGGGGGGGTCGCGGGAGGGGCGGCCCGGGGGGGGACCCGCGGGGGGGGGAAAGGAGGGTCTAGGGGAGGGAGGGGGTGTCCCGGTCCTGGAGGAACCGGGAAAACAGTGGGGGGGGGGAACAGGAAGAGGGTGGAGGGGAGGGGGTATGGGGGTGGTCCCAGGGGGGTGTCCCCGGGGGGAAGGAGGCTGTCACCGGAGGGGGGGGGTGCCGGAGGATGTCCCGGGGGTGGGGGTGTCCCGGCGCTGGGGGAATGTCCCGGGGGGTGCCGGGGGTGTCCTGGGGGTGGGGGGGTCCCGGGGGTGTGCCGGAGGTGGGGGGGTCCCGGGGGTGGAGGGGGTGTCCCGGGGCTGTGCCGGGGGTGTCCCGGGGGTGTCCCGGGGGGTGTGCCGGGGGTGGGGGGTCCCGGGGGGGGGTCCCTGGGGGTCGCGGGTTCCCGAGCGCGGCCGCCGCGTCCCCCCCGCGCGCGCGACAATTGTCGGGGGGAAGCCCCGCCCCCCGCCCTTCCCGCCTTCCGCCGGCCACGCCCCCCGCGCCGTCCCATTGGTCGGGCCTGCGTGACGTCACCGCCGACGCGGGAGATCCCTTAAAGCGATACCGGGGGGTCCGGGATCGGGATCAGGATCGGGACCGTGACAGTGACCGGGACTGACACCGGGATCGGGATCGGGACCGCGCAGGTTCCTGCCGGGACCCCCGGCCGGGAGCCCACTGGGTCACAAGTGGGCTCCCCGCGACCACCGCCAGGGATTGGGTCCCCCGACACCGAACGGGGTCCCGGAGACCCCCTGGGTTCCGGGCGAGGCCGATCACCGGAGGAAACCCGTGCCAGGCTCAGAATCACCCCCACGGGCGGGGGTGGCAGCAGCGTGGGGGGGGACACGGGGCAGCAGCACCGGGCGGGGGGTCACGGGGCTCTCCGGGGTCTGTCCCGCACACGCGGCCCCGCGGGCACGGTCCCGCACGAGCAGTCACACCAAGCACACGGACCCCCCCGGGCGCGGGTGGGACCCCCCCGGGGTGCGAGTCCCGGGTGGGCGCTGGAAACACCCCCAGCAGAAAAGATCGGGGTCCCCCCGTGTCAGTGGGATGGGGGTCCCCTCGTGGGTGTCAGATTGGGGGTCCCCCCGCCTGTGCAGAGTGGGGGTCTTCCCATGTCGGTGGGATGGGGGACCCCTCTGTGTGTGTCAGATCGGGGGTCTCCCCACGTGTGCCCCCCACCCTGCACACCAGGGCCCCCCTAAGCTCGGTGGGTGGAGGGTCCCCGTGGACCCCAAATCCACGTCCCTGGGGCCACCAGGTGCTGAGAGCAGGGGGGCAGCACCTCCAAACCCAAACCCCCTCCCCGGGCTGGGGGGTCTCTGTGTCCCCCCGCACTCCCTCCCCCCCGGAAAAGGGCCGGAGCGTGTGACCGGGGCCGTACACGCATGAACACATGTGTCCCCACGCAGCACACGGGGGAGGGGCTGGGACCCCCCTTTTTTGGGGTGGGATTATGCAAATGAGAGCCCCTTTAAATCTCCCCGTTCCCGACCCCTTCGCCTCTACCCCGGCGGTGCCCGAGCGTGGGGGGAGACGACACGGAAGGACCATGTGGGTGCTGAGGGTGATCGTGGTCCTGGGGACCCTCCTGGCCTTGGCTGCGGCTCAGCGTCGTAAGTGTGGGTTTGGGGGGGTCTGGGGAGCACCCAGAGCCCGACACGGGACCGTCCCGGCACTCTGAGGGCTACGGGGGGCACCGAAGGGAGCAGAACCCCCCAGAGCCAAATCCTGACTACACCCCAATTATCTCCCCTTGGGGAGCTCGTTGTGGGGTCCTCGTCCTTCTCCAAGATGTAGGGGGGGACCTCCAGCCCTTCGGGAGCGGGGTGGGACAGGGTGGTCCCCATCCCTCTGTAAACGGGGGACACACGACGCCGTGCTGCCCACAAATGGGGGCCCCCTTTGTCTGCGAGGGGAATCCAGCAGCCCCTGCGAGTAGGGGGGCATGGGGGGACTCTTTGGACCCTTGAGAGTGGGGGACGTGGGGGACCCGGCAGACCCCTGACAGTGGGGCCATGGGGGGTCCTTAAGCCCCCTACAAATGGGGTCATACGGGGAGACCTGGTAGACCGAAAGTGGGGAGCGGGGGGGACCTGGCAGCCCCCCGGGAGTGGGGGGCTGTGAGGGGGGTGCCCACCCCACCCTGCCCGGGGCTGCCGGCGCCGGCTCAGCTGAGCGTCACATGAAAGGGCTTTGGAGGCGGCGCCGGGCGCATGTGATGGGCTTTGCCCCGCGTGGGGCTTGGCCCGAGCCCCGTCACATGGCCCGGGGTCCCCGAGGACACCCCACCGAGGGGGCAGCACGTCCCGGGGGGCTCCCCGGTGGGCCGGGGGTGCTGGGCTGGGGTCTGGGTGCCGCAATGCCCTCGTCCCACAGGAGCCGGTGGCCAGAGCCGCGAGCGGAGCCGGGCCTGGAGCGGGCGGCCGGCGGCATTCCGGAGCTGGGACGCGGGGCTGTACCGGCCGTGGCAGGAGGGGATGCGCGACTGCTGGCGAGGTGGGTGCCCTGGGGGGGCCGGGGGGCCGTGGGGGTCTCGGCGTGTCCCTGAGCCCCCCATCCCTGTGCCGGGCAGGCGGCGACGTCACCTTCGACATCAGCAACGACGCTCCCACCATGGCGGGCGCCGACGCCACGTTCTCCATCGCCCTGCGCTTCCCCGGCACCCAGGCGGTGCTGCCCGACGGCCGCGTCGTCTGGAGCCAGAACTGCACCGTCAACGGTCAGCGGCCACCCCAGTCCCCCACCCCTGGCCCCGGGACCCCCACCCTGCGCCCCTCACCCTCTGCTCCCCGCAGGCACCCGCGTGGCCCGGGGCGATCCCGTCTTCCCAGAGCAGCCGGACGAGGACGTGGGCGGCGTCTTCCCCGACGGGCAGCCCTTCCCCAGGGGCAAGCGGGGCAAATTCGTCTACGTCTGGTGGACGTGGGGTGAGGCCCCGACCCCAGCCCCCTCCCCAGGATCTGGGGAAGCCCTGAGACGGTGCTGACCCCCCGTCCCCACCCCACAGGGCGCTACTGGCAGGTGGTGGATGGGGCGGCGTCGCGGCTCACGGTGGGCACGGCCGGGGTCCCCCTCGGCTCCTACACCATGGAGGTCGTTGTCTACCATTACCGTGGCCGTCAGAAGTTCATCCCCATCGGCCGTGCCAGCACTCAGTTCAGCGTCACTGGTGGGTGCTGGCTTGCGGGTGTGGAGTTGCGGGTGCCAGGGCGGTGGGTGTCGGGGTGACGGGTACCGGGGCGGTGGGACAAGAACCGGTGACGGCGACGGCCCCACCGACAGCCCCCCGTGCCCCCCCCAGACCAGGTTCCCTTCGCGGTGGACGTGAAGCAGGTGCAGGACGTGGCGGCGGGCGACGGGCGCTTCGTGCGGAACCGCGCCGTGGCCTTCACCGTGCGGCTGCACGACCCCAGCCGGTACCTGCGCGACGCCGACGTCGCCTACTCCTGGGACTTCGGGGACCAGAGCGGGACCCTCATCTCGCGCAGCCCCACCGTCACCCACACCTACCTGGAGGCCGGGTCCTTCAACGCCCGCCTGACCCTGCAGGCCGCCATCCCCCTCAGCCCCTGCGGCACCTCCGCCGCCCCCATCGTGAACCCCACCACGGGCCCCCCGCCCTCGGCGCGCCCCACGCCCACCCAGCCCGCGGGCACCACGCCGGGCGGGCAGGGCACCACCGGGGCGCCCAGCACCGGTAAGGGAGCGCGGCGGGTCTGGGGGTCCCACGGGCGTTCCCCGACAGGAGTGACCCCCAGCCCTCGCTCTGCCCGCAGCTCCCACAGCCCCCATCGAGCCGGCGGAGCCCACGGGGGGATCGGCGGCTGAGCCCTCAGACCCCGCTGGCACCGAGCCCTCGGACCCCGCTGGCACCGAGCCCGCCCTCCTGGCGCTCAGCACCGCCGTGAGCGGCACCGGGACCGGCTCTCCCGCCGTGTCCGGGGCTCCCCTGCTCCCCACCTCGGTGGCCCCGGCAGGGGACACGCTGGTCACGGTGGCCCCCGCGCCCTCGGAGGGAACGATGGCTGCAGGTGGGTGCTGCCCTGGGCAGGGGGTGGCAGGACGTGTCTGGGGGGTTCCCCAGGGCTCGGTGTCCCCTCGGCCTTTCCCAGCCCCTTCTCCTGCAGATGCAGAGACAGACGGAGCCACGGATGGTGCCACAGCTGGTGCCACAGCTGGACCTGCAGCTGAAGCCACAGTGGGAGCCACAGCTGGAGTCACAGTTGATGCCACAGCTGGAGCCACAGTTGTAGTCACGGTTGATGCCACAGTTGAAGAAACAGTTGATGCCACAGCTGGAGCCACAGTCGATGCCACAGCTGGAGCAACAGTGGGAGCAACCGTGGGAGCCACGGCTGTATCCCTTGCTGCTGCCACGGCTGGAGCCACGGCTGGAGCCACTGCCGGAGCCACCACTGGAGCCACCGCCGGAGCCACCGCCGGAGCCACCACTGGAGCCACCGCCGGAGCCACCGCCGCGCCGCTGGTGCTGGTGAAGCGCCAGGCACCGGCCGCAGACTCCACCGGCTGCATCCTGTACCGCTACGGCACCTTCTCCACACAGCTCGACATCGTCCGTGAGTGCCGGGCCGGGGGCTCGGGGGGGCTCCGGGCGGGGGCAGCTGAGCCCACCCCGCCCCTTTGGTTGCAGAGGGCATCGAGAGCGTGGCCATCGTGCAGGTGGTGCCGGTGGTGCCCGAGGGCAGCGGGAGCAGCGTGGAGCTGACGGTGACGTGCGAGGGGAGGTGAGCACGGGCAGGGGGACGGGGGCGGGACCCCGCGCTGGGGCGGGGGGTCCACACCGGCTGAGCCCCCCCGCCCCCCCGCAGCCTCCCCCAGGAGGTGTGCACGGTGGTGGCCGACCCCGAGTGCCAGACGGCGCAGACGGAGACGTGCTCGGCCGTGGCACCCGCGCCCGGCTGCCAACTCGTGCTGCGCCAGGACTTCAACCAGTCCGGCCTCTACTGCCTCAACGTGTCCCTGGCCAACGGCAACGGCCTGGCCGTGGCCAGCACCCGCGTGGCCGTCGGAGGTGGGAGCGGGACGGGGCCCTGGGGGTGGGGGGGCCTGGGGGGCCGGGGGTGCTGAGCTGTCCCTGCCCGCAGGCGCTGCCCCGGCCTCGGGAAGCCCCACGATTTTTGTGGGGCTGGTGCTCGTCGCCGCTGCCCTGGGCACGGCCGCCTACACCTACAGGTCAGGGGGACATCGGGGGGACACACGGGGGGGGACACACAGACCGTGGGGCAGGGGGCTCTGTGGGATGGGGGGACACTGGGGGGACACACCATGTGGGGTGGGGGGCTCTGTGGGGCGGGGGGAACACTTGGGGACACACACAGTGGGGTGGGGGGCCCTGTGGGGTGGGGGGGACACTGGGGACACACACACCCCCCATGGGGTGGAGGGCACCAGGGAGTGGGGGGACACACACAGTGGGGTGGGGGGCTCTGTGGGGTGGGGGGGACACTGGGGACACACACACACCGTGGGGTGGGGGGGACATGGGACACACACACACTGTGGGGTGGGGGCACCCCGGCACAACCTGGGCCCCCCTCCACGGCCCCCCCAACACTGCCCCCCTCCGTGCCCCCCCAGACGAGTCAAGTACACCCCCCTGCTGGCCGTGGCCCCCCCGGCCCCCCGGCCCCGGGGGTGGCTGCCCCCCGGCCCCGCCCTCCGCCTGCTGCTGCACCGGGCCTTCGGGGGGGCTCCGAGCGGCGAGAGCAGCCCCCTCCTCCGCGGGAACACCGTCTAGGGACCCCCCCCGCCCCGCGCCGCCCCTGCCTGGCCCAAGCCCCCAGACCCGGGGGGGGCCGCGGGCCGTGGGGGGGTCGCGTGGCCTCGGTGCCACCAAGATTAAAGGCTCATCTGCGCCGGTGCCTCCGCCTGGTTGTGTGTCTGGGGGGCCTGGGGGGGTCCCGGGGGGCACAACCAGCACCAGTGCTCGTCACAACACCAGCTTTATTCCTGCAACAGGCACTTGGAATTGGGGGGGAATAAATAGCGGGGGGGCCAGGCGGGGTGGGGGGCTCTGGCCACTGCGCTGCACCCTGGGGGGCTTCGTGCAGCCCCCCCTGCCCCCCCGGCACCCCCAGGCTCTGAGCACCCCTGGGGGCAGGGGAGGGGCACGGCCCCCCTGCTCCTGCTGGGGAGGGGGGGTAGGCAGGGTTGGCCTGTGTTCCCTGCCCGGGCACAGCTCGGGGGGGCTCCCCCGGCCCCCCCCGGCCCCCTCAGGCCTCGAGGGAGCCCCTCTTGGTGCCGAAGACGCCGCAGAACCGGGATGTGGTAGCCATGAGCATGGGCACCTGGTTCTTGTGGGTGATCCTGATCTGCGAGACAGAGGCTGGGGCGGGGGGCTGGGGGGCTGGGGGGGCTCCCCACGCTCGGGGGTCCCTGGGGGGCTCAGTGAGGATGGGGGGGTGTCCACGTACCGTGCAGGGCGGCTGCATCCAGGGCTCCCCATCGACCTGCATAGGCAGGGCCTTCAGTGTCCTGCAAACCCCCCCAGGTCAGTCACTGCGGGGCCTGAGCCCCCCCAAGCCCCCCCGAGCCCCCCGGGCCCCCCCAGACCCCCCTCACCTCAGGGTGAGCTCGGAGCAGGTCGCCAGGCGTGTCCCCGCGCTCTTCAGCCCGGTGTAGATCTGCCCCATCTCCAGAACCCCCTCCAGCCCCACCACCTCCAGCCGCCCGTCACCCAGGTCTGGGGGGCACGGGGGGGGCAGGGCAATGGGGGCAGATCTTTGGCATCCCCTTCCCTATGATGTCCCTGCCCCCATTCCCGTGGCGTCCTCATTCCCATCCCCACCCCCTGTCCCCATCCCCCCGTCACCCCCATCCTCATACCCGTGACATCCCTGTCCCCATCCCTGTGGGGTCCCATCCCCATATCGTCCCCATCCCCATGGCATCCCTGTCCTGGTCCCTGTGGTGTCCCATCCCTGTCCCTGTCCCTATCCCTGTCCCCATCCCTGTCCTTGTCCCCGTGGTGTCCCATCCCTATCCCTGTCTGTCCCCATCCCTGTCCCTGTCCCTATCCCTGTCCATCCCCATCCCTATCTCTGTCCTCATCCCTGTCCCCGTGGTGTCCCCATCCCCCTGTCCCCGTGGTGTCCCCCCCGGCCCTGGGCAGGGGTCCCCCACCCACCCTGCACGCAGCTCCGGAGGGTCTCGCTGTCGGTGACGTTGGGGGGCTGTGCCGCCCTGGGCCCCCTCGCCCGCCGGGTCTCGCCCCACAGGTTGGACCCCCCGTGGGTGCTGGGGATGTTGAGCACTGCCAGCCCCTCCAGGGACCCCCCCAGCTCCAGGGGGGTCCCGCCGACCTGGGGGGGGGGCACGTCAGGCCGGGCAGAGCCCCCCAACTCCCCCCGCCCCGGGGCAGGGACCCCTCCCACCTCCACACTCAGGTGCTCCTTGAGCCTCTTGCAGGTGGAGAAAAGGGTCTCTGAGGTGGCAAATTCCAGGTACCAGAGCTTGTTCTTCATCCTGGGAGGGCAGGGAAGGGGACAGGGAGGGACAGGGATGGGGACAGGGAGGGGACAGGGAGGGGACAGGGATGGGACAGGGGGGTGGGGACAGGGATGGGGACAGGGAAGGGGACAGGGAGGGGACAGGGATGGGGACAGGGATGGGGACAGGGAGGGGACAGGGATGGGGACAGGGATGGGGACAGGGATGGGGACACCAGGGGGGTGGGGACAGGGAATGGGGACAGGGAAGGGGACAGGGAGGGGACAGGGATGGGGACAGGGATGGGGACAGGGAGGGGACAGGGATGGGGACAGGGATGGGGACAGGGATGGGGACACCAGGGGGGTGGGGACAGGGACACCGTGGGGATGGGGGACATCACGGGGACATGATGGGGATAAGGACACCACAGGGATGGGGATGCCAAGGGAACAGGGATGGGGACACCACGGGGACACCGGGGGAGTGGCCCTGTCCCCCCCCCACCTGCTGTTGAACTTCTCCGGGTGCTTTTCCCGCATGACGTGGAACCGGTGGGCGATGGAGGCGTCCTGGGGGGGCCCGGGGGGGACAGTGAGGCCCTGGGGGGGACACACGGCCCCCCCCCGGTGGCCACCCCCCTCCCCACGCACCACCCCGACGGAGAAGTAGTTGTTGATGATGCCCTGGGGCACCGGGTCCCCCTCGGCCGCCGGGTCCCGGGGCAGCACCTCCAGCCCCCACCGGTCCATCTGCACCACGGTGCTGCTCCTCAGCTCCCACAGGATCCTGCGCAGGTCCTGCCCCGCGTACCCTGCGGCGGGGGGGTGTGGGACGGGGAGAGGGGCTGGGGGCACGGGGGTGTCCCCGGGCTGCCCCGCCCCTCTCACCTCCCCCCCAGCGCAGGCAGCGGGCCAGGTCGTTGCCGGTGCCCAGGGGCAGGACGGCCACGGGCGGCCGGCGGGGCAGGTTGGCTTTGTCTGCAAGGAAAGAGGGGTGAGGAGGGGCCGGGGGGTCGGGGGGGGCAGCGCCCAGCGAGGGGGGGGCAGCACCCACCGATGGCATCCAGGATCCAGCCCACGGTGCCGTCCCCCCCGCACACCAGGACACGAAAATCCGGCACGTCCCGGAAGAAATCCAGCCTGGGAGGGAGGGGGTCAGGGCTGGGTTGGGCCCCCCCGGGCACCCCAGTGCCCCCCTGTCCCCATCCCCACTCACCCGGGCATGGGGCCTCCCTTCTGCAGGTTATAAACCTGCCGGGGGTTGAGCAGGTACTGGAACTTCCGGAGCACCCTGGGGGGACAGGGGGAGCTGGGGGGGCTTGGGGAGGACAGGGAGGGCTGGGGGGACCGGTGGCCACCCCCTCCCCACCATAATGAAATATGGTCTGACCATCATCCTGGTTCCCACAAACCACCCCATCCCATCTCACCCCACCCCATCCCTTGTCCCCCTCCCTGTCCCATCCCACCCCATCCCGGCCCCCCCCCGGGTGCAGAGCAGCCCCAGGACCCCCCAGCCCCCCTTTACCTCTCCCCCTGTTTCCCTCCACTCTTGGGGTTGACGAAGACGAGGAGTGGGTGGGTGTCGGGGGGGGGACTGACCTGGGGGGAGAGGGGATGTCAGCCTGGCCCCAGGGGTGGGCAGATATGGAGGGGACTCGAGGGGGCCCATGGGGGTCCCGGGGGGGTCCCAGAGGTGCGGGAGGGTCGTGGCTCACCCGCAGCGCCTGCCCCTCAGGGGTGGTGAACACTTGGGGGGTCTCCTCCACCGGCGTCCCACCGTTGTCTCTCTGGCTGTCCTGCCTCTCCTGGGACCCCCACACCGGCTCAGGGGGGCCGGGTGGGGAGTGGGGGGCACATCCCTGCCCCAGGAGCACCCCCAGGACCCCACTCACCAGCAGGACGGGGTAGATGGAGGCGGGGGGCAGGACGTGGTCCCGCAGGACCCCACAGTCGCAGGCTGGGGGCACGAGGGGCTGGCACTCCTCATGGATCTGGGGACAGAGGGAGCAGGGGGGCCACGGGGACAGGGATAGGGACAGCAGGGGGACCATGGGGACAGGGATAGGGACACCACAGGGGTGGGGACAGGGATAGGGACACCACAGGGATGGGGACACCACAGGGATGGGGACAGTGCAGGGATGGGGACAGTGCAGGGGTGGGGACAGGGATAGGGACAGCACAGGGATGGGGACAGCACAGGGACAGCACGGGGGAGGGGCTGGCACTCCTCGTGGATCTGGGGCCAGGGGGTCAGGGCGGCCGGGGGGGACTGGGGACCCCGGGCCCCCCCACCTTGCGGTGGCACCACACGCAGTTCAGCCCCGTCAGGCTCTGGAAGCTCCGGATCTTCTTCTGGCACTCCCTGCACTTGGCACCGTCACAGCCGCCCCTCACCCACACGTGGGCCTGGACCTGCAGGTGACCCCCCAGGTCACCCCTCGGCACCCCACCCCACCCCACCGGCCGGGTCACCCCCGGCAGGATGGGTGGATGGATGGATGCCCAGGTGGGTGGGTGGGTGGGTGGATGCCCAGGTGGGTGGGTGGATGCCCAGGTGGGTGGGTGGGTCGATGCCCAGGTGGGTGGGTGGATGCCCAGGTGGGTGGGTGGGTCGATGCCCAGGTGGGTGGGTGGATGCCCAGGTGGGTGGGTGGGTCGATGCCCAGGTGGGTGGGTGGATGCCCAGCCGGACAGACGGACGGACAGTGGACTCACCTCGGCCTCCCTGCGGTTCTTGGCGTAGGTGCTGATGCAGTTGTGGGGGGCCCGGCGGGCGCAGCGCTCGTGCACCGTGAACCGGCACACTGGGGGAACAGGGCTCGGAGCTGGGCCCTCCTCCCACCTCAGCCCAGCCCTGTCCCCAGCCCTGTCCCCATCCCAGCCCATCCCATCCATCCCATCCCATCCCATCCCATCCCATCCCATCCCATCCATCCCATCCCAGCCCAGCCCAGCCCTGTCCCCATCCCATCCATCCCATCCCATCCATCCCATCCCATCCCATCCCATCCCATCCATCCCATCCCATCCCATCCGATCCCCTCCCATCCCATCCATCCCATCCCATCCCATCCATCCCATCCCATCCATCCCATCCCATCCCATCCCATCCCATCCCATCCATCCCATCCCATCCATCCCATCCCATCCCACCCCACCTCATCCCATCCATCCCACCCCACCCCACCCCTCCCAGCCCAGCCCTGCTCACGGCAGCAGCGCAGCCCCTGTTTCCGCAGCCCCACGAGCAGCCCCTCGCACACGTTGCAGAAGGCAGGACGTGAGAACTGCTTCAGGCGCCAGAGGTGCTGCCCGTCGTCCTTCATGTCCTGGGGGCACACGGGGGGCACTCGGGGGGGGTCCCGGGCAGGGGGTCCCCCTCAGCCCCCCCAGACTCACCCCCTCGAGCCCCAGCAGCACCAGCAGCGGGATGTTGGTGACCCCCCCCCGCAGCCACTCGCCCAGGGACACCGTCCCGCTGCCGTCGTAGTCGATCTCCCGCATCATCTCCTGCAGGATCTGGGGGGACACGGCGCTCAGAGGAGGGGCAGGGGGATGGGGGGCATCCCCCCAGATCCACACAGCCCCCCCAGCCCTGCTCACCGGCTTCAGCTCCGTCACATCCCAGTCCAGGTACTGGGCCACCCTCATCATCTGGGTGATGATCCGATCCACCTCCTGGGGGGGAGTGACAGCTGGGGGGGTCCCACAGCCCCCCGACATCCACAGACCCCCCTCACAGCCCCCCCAGCTCCCACAGCCCCTCAACAGCATCCCAATGCCCACAGCCCTCCCCCCCCTCAGTCCCCCCACAGCCCCCAGTCCCCTCCCCAGTCCCCCCAAAGCCCCCCGGTGCTCACCGAGCTGTCCAGGACCCCGTTCCCGTCCTTGTCATACAGCTTGAAGGAGACTGTGGGGAGACAGCAGGTGAGGTGACCCCAAATCTGGGCTCCCCTGTCCTTGGGGCTCCCCCAGACCCCCTGGGACCCCCCACTCACATTCCAGCTTGTCCTCGGGGCGTCCCCCCTCCAGCAGGGAGAAGTAGCAGGAGACATCACTCAGGGAGACGCAGTCGCTGCCTGTGGGGACGGACCCCGTGAGCCCCCCAGGGACCCCAAAACCCCCCCGGGCCCCCCCCGAGCCCCCCCTCACCGTCCTGGCTCTGGAAGGAGGCGAAGAGGCGCCGGCACAGCGGCTCCGGGACATCGTCGCTCTCCAGGTACCTCCGCAGGAACCGCGAGAACCCCTCCAGGTCGAGGCTCTGGGGGGCACAGCTGGGTTGGGGGGCTGGGGGGTGACCCCCCGACCCCCCCGCGCCCCACGGGGGGCCCCCAGGTCTCACCTTGCCCTGATGGGGCTGAGCCAGAGCCCCCTCGGTGCCGAAATCCTGCAGCACGTCCTGCACCCTCCGGCTGCTGTCTGAGGGCAGGGACACGCGTGTGCTCTGACATGTGTGCTCTGACATGTGTGTGCTGGGCACGTGTGTGCCCTGACGTGGGAGAGGCCACACACGTGTGTGCCCTGACACGTCTGCACAGGAGAACACGCGTGTGCTGGCACACAGGAGAGGCCACACACACGTGCAAGGCTGCTGGGGGCCACACACACACGCACGCACACACGCGTGTGGAGCCGCTGTGTGTGCGTGTGCGGCTGCCCCTGGTGTGTGCACACGTGTGCAGAGCCCCCACACGTGCGCAGCCCCCCTCCCCCGGGTG